CGGCAGAATCCAAAAGTCGCGGAGGTAGTCGAGATCCTTGACGAAGTCGCGCTCGGTGTAGCAGATTTCGGAAATGACTTCCTGGCGCTTCTTCTCCCGGTCACTGATGCTGTCGGCCACCTCCTTCGGCACGGAGTTTATCCACAACTTCTGCTCATCGGTGACATCGACATCGTCTTCGCCCACCATAGCCGTGGCACTGGATGCGCCCTGTAGGCCAGGGCCCATCTTGAGGTTGAGGCGCGAGACCTGCTCAAGGCGGCGGGGGCAGGCGATCGAGTAGCACAGCTGGTCACGCGTGCACGTAGGCGAATAACACTCAGACAGCAGCACAAAGACACCGTTGACTTGCGAGCCACTGCTGGTGGTCTGGGAGCTGGTTTCGTCGTTGTTCATCTCGTCGAGATTCTCGCGGAACTGATACATTTCGTTGGTCGAGTCGCGCAGGCGGTGCTCGTACGTTACGTCATGGAAGAACTTTTGGGCATCAAGGGCACGGCCGAGTAGCAAGGCCAAGTTGCGGTCCGTAGTGCGGATAATAAAAGACAGAACGTCCACCGCTTCGGCACCGCTGAATGCGTTTTTGTAGGACAGCTCGTTCTTTGTGCGGTCGCCAATGACAATCTTTTCGCGGAAGACCTCCGCAACGCGAGAGAGCATCGCCGGATAGACAAGTGGCGGTCGGATCTTAGCCGTTGGTGGGCGGTCACCGTCCACGGAGCGCGTCAGGGAGCCGCGGTTGGACATGGAAGTCTGGGAGGATGAGGGCACAATGGTGCGGTCGCTAGCCGCCACAGACGGTGCAACTGTGGACGCCATCGACATGGTGCGCTGGTGGTCGGCCGCGTTGTTGGCGCCGTACCCATTCGTCGTCGATGACGCCATGCTCGTCGTCCTCGTCTGCGTGCCCGGTGCGGCCGGCATGGTGGAGTGGGCATGGCCATTCGTGGAGTCGATGCTGCCGCCGCCGCCACCGGCACCGCCGCTGGGCATTCTGCGGTTGGGAATCACACGCCCGCTCATTGTCTGATGCGAGTCACGGTGCTCGGAGATGGCTGGGAATCCGCCGGACATGGTCATTGTGCGCTCGTCTGCCGGATGGCGGTCCGGCACGACACGACCTTGTGCCGTGGTGCGGGACTGGGGGAAGTTGCCGGGAGCAGCGCTGCCGTTGGCGCCAGTATATTGTGCGTTGCGGAAAGCGTTTGCAGACGCTTGTTGGTAGGTATTTGGTGGCGGGTGGTACATAGCCTGAGCGTTAGGGCGGGGGGCGCTGGCGAGAGACTGCGATCGGTACGGATCCGAATTCATGGCCGGGGCGGGCCCATCGCCCTGGAAAAACCGTTGTGATGGTGACCGCATGTTGGCGTAGCCATCCTGTGGTGGTGGCTGCACGGGGCGGCCGTTGGGGCCGCCCTGGCCACCGCCTGGCGGTCCCGGTGGTACTTGGCGTCCGGCCATACCCGGTTGCGGCGGAGGTGCAGGACCACGGGAGTCCATTCGCGGCGGAGGGGCTTGCTGTCCTGGGTAACGGCGCATTTGTTGCTGCTGCTGCAAATATTGTGCTTGCGGTGATGGCATGGGTGGGCCACCTGACACAGACCGCAGGCCACCGCGCGGGAAGTACCCGTTGCCCGCCCCGCCGGCCATGCTCTGTGCTACGCTGGAGTCCATGGTCCTTGTTCTTTGCGCCATCATGGGATCAGGGCCGTAGTTGCGGTTGTAGCCACCCCCTGGAGGGCCCCGTGGTGGCGGAGGACCTTGCCGAAGGGACATTGTCCGATCACCGGCATCATAAGGGGCGCCATGCTGCTGTTGCTGATGATGGTATTGTTGTTGTTGCTGCTGCTGCTGCGGCGGCGGTTGTTGACGAAGGTGGTGAGGATGTTGCTGTGGCTGGTGCTGCTGTTGGGACATGTCGGGGGCAGACATGGAGGTCATGGTCTGTGAGCGGCCGGGTGGAGGCGCGGCGCCGAAGATGTTGGAGAAGGCAGCATCGCGCTGGTAGCTGCCCGAGTTTGGGGGGCTGTCATAGTCCTGTTGGAGAGGCGGGCCTGGACGGCGGTTCGGTGCCGGGTAGTTGGCCATGATGGTCACGTCGCGGGAAGCTGGACTGGCGATCCGCCTTCACGATGTCTGCGATAGACAAGAAAAAAGTGACGTTAGCAACCGCCGTGGTAGATCAACATGGATGACAAGCAGTGGAGACGCGCCAACGGACGGCGTGTAAAACAAAGTCGGTACGACATGGGATAAGTGCAGAAGGGGATGTCCATAGACGAGTAACGGTGACGAGCAGGGGAGCAGGGGGCCTCCTAAAAATAGAACCTGATTTTGGGGCAGAAAGGGGAAGCTGTCAAAGAAGGAGTTGACCGTGCAGACGAGTGAAGACGATGAAGAGATCGGATGGGATGGGAAACCGGGAAATGTTGTGACTCGGAGTATGAAGCTCGGACAAAGCAGCAACAAGTCGGGGCATAGACGATTAGGGGCATAGTATCGAAGAAGGAGAAGAGACAGCGCGAAAAAGACGTGACCCGACACCTGGCGATGCAAATTTGTAGCGCCGCAATGACGTCCTAATGCCAAGACTTTTGCCGGGCCTTGTATTTTTTACCGGTCCGTGCTTAAGGGATCAGAAAGCAAACTCACATTTTCAGGGCCCGGAGGCCGCCAGAACAATCTCGAGGAGAGGCGTGACGTGGGCGTCAGGCACGATCACACGAACTGGTCCGTGGTCTAGGCCCAGCGTCGCTGTCGTGTTATTTTGTTGTTCGCGTTGGGGGGAGGCAGTGCAAACACGGGTTCCCGGGTAAGGAGCAGGGGGAGGGGGGAAACTGCAAAAGGGGAAGCGATAGGCCGGAAGAATCGAAACCGTCTGCTTTATCGCTGTTGGGCCTGGATCCTAGCCGAGCGGCGGGCTCTTCATCGACAATGTTCCGTCGTTCGGAGTCGCCGGTTTGCCGTGCCAAGAAGGGAAAGCTTGTCGGCAGTTTATTCTTCCAAGTGCTGCGTCGACGAAGGTAGACAATGATAATCGAGCAAGGAAATCCGTTGATGCGTGCAGACAACGCGTGCAGCCAAGTCGTGTCGATGGGCTTTGGCAGTGGTCGGCGAGCAGCGACGGTGTACGAACCCCTATTTCGTTGGGCTTTTCTGCTCGCGCCCGTTTCCCCAGTACTTTCGGTGCCTGGGAATGGAGGGCGTCGTGCGTCGGTGGGTTCTTCCGTGCGACGTTATCGTGTTGCAGAAAAAGGAGGGGGATGCAAGGTGGCGGCGTCTTGGTCGATGGGTTCGCTGGGGGGAGTCTCGTGGACTGTAGACTGGTGGACAGTTGGATATTGGCCACGCGGCAGACGCGAGAGACGATGATGTATTCTGTGGCCTGAGAACGGCCGATGCGGTGATGAATGCTGTTTGGGTGACGATGCGTCTCAATGCAGAGGAGAAATGACGTTCGGAGCCTTACGGGGTGGTCGGGGTCATCGGCTTCAACATGGATGAAAATGGGCGCTGATGATGCCCGAGAATAAAGATGAGATCGAGAAGAAGGGCGAGGACGGCCGCTGCTGGATAAGAGGCGAGACCGAGCGTAGGATGGCGAGGGCGTAGGACGAGGTAATCCGCAGGAAGGGCAACCAAAAGAGGGCAATGGAAGGATTGATGATGCAGGCAAAGTTATGACGAGATGCGCAGACAATGGCCAATGGGCTGAAAAAAGAAAAGAAGAGAAATCGAGACCGACAACGAGAAATATGAGGAGATAATTGAAACGGCAAAGGCGAGCGTGTGAGAAAGCCGCTGCTCGTACACACACACACACACACACACACACTCGAGGCGACGTCGAAGAAAGAAGAGGATGCGGGAACAAGAAATGAGGCACGAAGACGCCAGGGGTGGTGGTGGTTGTGAATCGCCGCGTGTAGTTGCGAGAGACGAGAAGAAAACTGACGACGGGAAAAGTTGGCGAGCGGGAGTTGGTGGAGGCGGCTTTTGGGTGGAGGAGCAAGGGACTAGGGGGGTCGAAATTGCGCCGGGGGCACGATAGGGCCTAAAGTCTGGGTTCTCCAGCAGTCTTACAGAGGCCTAGGGGAGTGCCCAAGAAGTTCTGCAGGAAAGGACTCCGAAGCCCAGGCCCAAGGACTTAACTTCAGCGCTAGCCTCTCGCTCTTGCCTCGCAGGACTGGCTGAGAAAGGGGTAGGCGGCGTGCGATCATCCACTGCAATTGTGCTGCGCGGGAGGCAGGAGCATTGGAGATCCGAGGACGGTGATTAGTGCAGCGCAATAGGACGAAGAAGGAAGGTCAATGGGAAAGAGGCGCTCTCTGTTATTTACGATCGGACATTGTATGTTGGCTATGCACATAAACGCACTACCACTCGATGCATTGTGGAATTCTGCGGCTTAGGATTGATTCCACAAGGACTGGCATTCCACTCGGCGAAAACTAGATACGACCACCGGGGAATGTTGACAACCCGAGACCATTGAAGCAAACCGTCAATTGGAAGCACATCCTGGAGACTCTGCAGCTGGCAAACTCGGAGAGGAGAACGCCCAGCGCCGCCTTGATCCTTGCATTCCCAAGTCCTAAAACAAGGCTCGGCCGTCTTTCCTCGTCCACGGTTGCATTGTTACGTCGTCATTTGTTTTCCCGTTTTCTGCCCGCCCGTTACTGCTAACCGTTACTTTTGTTGGGATCGGGCGCGTGGCCAGTCACGTGCAGATCATGTTCTGAGAATGGTAAAACTGGGCCCGCTAGCAAGGACAAAACCACGCAGCTCTCAAGCAGCTGCCGGGAGATACGCCAGGAGTTGGCAACGCCTTGTCTGAATTCTGCTGCCTCCAATGTCAATAGCTTCAACCGCGACATCCCAACTCCACGCCCTCCGCCACCCACGACCGCGCATCCCAGACGAGGCGTTCGCTGATTGATGAAAATATCCTGCTTGCTGCTGCGACGCTCGCTTTTCCATTCTCCCAGACAGCCGCCACAATGGCCGAGTCCGCGCTGTCCCCCAAGTTCGCGCCGTTCTTTGGCATGGTACGACGCCGTCTCATTTCCTGCGTTGACGACGACGGTCGGATACCTGTGTTGAATCTGCTCGACTAACGTGTCTGCTACTCTAGGCCGGCATCGCGAGTGCCATGATTCTCGGAAGTATGTCTTGATCCTTGCCTCCGAACCGAAACGCGACCGAACCTCCCTCCCTGTTATCCAACGGCAAACGCAATCTTGGCAGCTTGGAGAGGCCCAGGGCCGAGCATAGGATCCGTATCTAACCGCACTCTCTAGGTATGGGCGCCGCGTACGGTACGGCCAAGTCCGGCATCGGCATCGCTGGTGTCGGTACCTTCCGGCCGGACCTGATCATGAAGGTACGCAACCCTGTTCAGTTTCGCCTGACGTCTCCCGGCGTATGCCGTCTAACAGTTCGCCAGTGTCTGATCCCGGTCGTCATGTCCGGTATCATTGCCGTCTACGCACTCGTCATCTCTGTCCTGATTGCCCAGGATCTGGCGCCGCCCAGCAGCAACGCCCACTACAGTTTATTCAAGTACGTTTGAACGGGCGGAAATACCTTTCTCTCTCTCTCTCTCTCTCCTCTCTCTACTTTCTCCCCCTTCTCTCTCTCTCTCTTTTGTTCTCAACTAACCGAACAGCGGCTTCATGCATTTGGCGTGCGGCATCTCGGTGGGCGCAACGGGCCTTGCGGCCGGCTACTGCATTGGTGTTGTCGGCGACAAGGGCGTTCGCGCTTACATGGAGCAGTCGCGCATCTTTGTCGGCATGGTGCTGATTCTGATTTTCGGCGAAGTGCTGGGGCTGTACGGGTACGTGTCTGTTGTCCTCGTTGTCTCTTGTGTGTTGACACAATGTATTGGTTGTGGTCCATACTAACGTCCTCCAAGTCTCATTGTCGGCCTGATCCTCAACACGAAGAGCAAGGACTAAGCTACCGATCGCGGACACCAAAACACGCCAAAGCCTTTTCTTCTCCGACCGATCGCGACGGACGCGGAATTGGATGATAAACGGGTGTGGATGTCGCCCCAAACGTTATTCCTGGGAAGAAGTCAAGCGGCGTGCATTCACCACTGTACACAACAAGCACCAAGGTGTGGGATAATCAGGCTCGACACGTTGCATAGTGTACCGATGACTGTCGATCCTGAGTAACGACTGGTCTATCGTCTCTCTTGCATGCACACACACACACACAACTGGCGCTGGGGCGTTTTTGCTATTCATTTTTCTGTCTTGGCTACTCATTTGCATTTTGTCTCTGATAGTTCTCTTTGCATTTGCACAGGACATTCGCAACGCCCTGCGTGTATCACTCCTCGGGAACTAGGATAGAACGGGCACGACTGGGTGAAGGAGCGGACGAGATAGGCTCTTCGGTTTCCATATAATAGTACATACAGTCACAAGCTCTCAAGGCATAGTGGAAACGGTCCACAAGAAGCAGAGTTGATAATGTGTCATTTTATCGTAGTTAATGAGGCGAGGTGGGTTGCACTGCGTGGCTGGCCGTAAAGAAAAGATACGAAATCCATAAATCATATTGTTTTCAACATTGCAGCATCGTCGTGACGGCAAAAGTTGATCCACCGCATCAAGGTCGTTTGTCACATAACGGTACGGCCGTTGTGGAAGAAAAGAAGACCAAAAAAAGAAAGACGGGAAAGAATGGAAAAACAATGAAAAGCATCGTACATGACACAGAGTAGCCAGTAACCCAACGCCGTTTGAACCCCGTAAATGCAGAAAACATAATGTTGTCGTCCAAATGTTCCGTGGCGCCCAAAGCAATGCGTTGACGTCCGCCGAAAGACTAAAAAGGGAACTTTGAAACGCAAAAGTGTATTGCGTCCAGTTTACGAACATCAAAACGCAAATGGAAACCGAACGGCCATGTAATGCCTGGAGAGGAGACAACTAATAAAGGAAAGGGTCTGTCCATTGTGGTGGAAACAAATGAAGTGAAGAGAAGAAAGGAGAAAAGAGAAAGTCTTCTCTAGACGACCTGCGTCTGATGAAATATTCCTACTGCACGCGCCGGGAGTGATGGTGCCGCAGAGAAGCCGGCGAGAGTCCACTGGCGTCGAAACGACGGCGCAGCCGACCGGACCCATGACGGTTCTTTATTTGTCCTATAACGAGAGAGACAAAGTGTTGGCCAAGTCAGTTTAGTGGCCAAGGAAGGGATGGTGTAGACGACTATGGCGGTGGGAACGGGGGGGCGGGGGAGAAGGTCTCTCACCCGCGGTTGCGGAGGGGGACGGGACGGAACGGTGGGGCGAAGAAACGGTGCTGGGGCGGGCAAACGAACCAAGGAACCAATCCCAGCGACGGTCTTCACGGTGAAGCGCTTCTTCGCCATGCGTGTTGTTCTCGCGAGCCATGCGCTCGGCACGGGCGCGACGCGCGGCCGTCTCGCCGACAAGGTACGGATCCTCCAGAGGACGGAACGAGCCGTTGCTCGTGCTGAGGCGCCCAATGGCGTTGTTGCCGCCGCCGTTGCCGCTGCGGTTGTTAGAGGCACTGCCACTAGCGTTGCCGTTGCCAGCGGAGGCATTTCGGTGGGCAGCAGCAGCAGCCATGCGCCGACTGGCGGCAGCCTCTTCTTGCTCCATGCGTTCAAGAACGGCTAGGCGGCGCATCAAACCTCCAATCTCAGCCGCGGCGGAGGCGTGCTCGGCGGCAGCAACCCGACGCAGTGCAACGGAGTGGTAGAGACGGGCGTTTGGGCTGGTCGAAATAGTTGACCAGGAAGGCACGCGGAAGCGGGACAAGTCTGGGATATCGTCACGGCGCACGTTGTCCATGCGCGCCGGAAGCGCAAACACGGTCCCGGCGCCGTTTGCCGAAGCGGCGGATGCGGAGCCACCTCGTCGAGCGGCAACAGCGTTTGCTGAGTGGGGCTGCAGGGCGGGGACCGAATGATGCCGAGGCGGAGCGGCGACACGCTCGGCAGAGCCCACGGGCGGGGCCGTGTAGGGGGGCAACAAGCTGCTATACCCGGAGTTGGGGACGGTGTAGTGCAATGTGGGCGCCTCCGAAGCTAATACGGAGCGCGTGATCCGAGAGGTTAGCGGAATTCTGAGCCGAAGGCATGGACGAACTTGATATAGGTTGTTTATGAGGCATGCGGGGTGGTACGCAAACTGCAGGCGTGTTGGGGCGAGAGCCTTGCGCGGGGCACGTTATTTGCGTGCCCTGGTCTGGCCGGCCGACGATCGGAAGATGCCGATGACGACGCATTCCGCCCAGATACGAAAGCAGTCCAGATTCTCGAGGATGACGGCGCAAAACTGGCAGGAAAGTGCTAGGACAGTACTCAAAACTTACAGTATGAAGGCGCTGCTGAGCGGATGGATGCCGTTTCAAAATCCTCGGCAGTAAGACCTTCCATGATCTCGTGAGAGCGGCGAGGAACCATGACGTCGGCCATTTTGACGGCTTCGTGCGCTTTCTTGTCTGAAGATGGGTATTATTTTGCTCGTGTGCCTGACTGGTTTCTGTGTGTATGATTCGGCAGTGGTGGCGCAAGTGTGTTTTGTGTATTAAATAGGCAAGACCCAGAATAAGGAATGACACTGTGTTCAAGTTGTTGACGTGAAGCGCAAATAACGAAGGGCGTCGTTGATGAGAAAGAGTCCAGCGAAAGAAAACAAGAAATCAACAAGAAGACGAAGAAGGAAAGAAAGCAAAAAGTGGCACAAAAGACGAAAAGACAAAAGGGAAACGGGAAAAAGAAAACGACCGCCCAGGCCACACAGAGAATGAAATGTGGAACAGAAAGCAGCCCGAGAGGGGGAGTGGGATCAAGTTGTGTGGATGTCTGCGACCTGAGGATGCCCTCTGCCTTGTGCCCTTCCCTTTCGACTTGTTCAACTCCGTCGTTAGTATTACTCCGTATTGATATGTAGCGCGGGCGGGCCTGCAGGACGTTGTGGACCGCCCGTCTTGATGGTGAGGGTGGATGGGTCTGGATGGAGCTCCTCTCTGATGTCTCCTCTTTACCTCGTCCTCTGGCAGTGTAGTGTCGCCTAGGGGCGCCTTTTAGTCGAGTAAACAAGTTAACGAGTTAACAGAGAGTGGTGTAGTAGGTGGTAAGAGGTGCCTTGTTTTCATCTGCGGTGGGGTGCCTTTTTGTGCGTTAGTTGAGCGTTCTGGTGTTCCTGGTCATCCTGGTCTTGACAGCTTGTCTTGTTTGATATCTCGGGAGAGTTGAAGCGATCATAAATGCCTGATGCGGGATTAAGCAAGACGATGGTTGTTGTCATCCGACCACTTGCCCTGTTGGTTCGGTTGATTTCATACCTTTCTTTCTCTTGGCTTTTCTTTTCCTTTTCAAGCCGAACTGACCCTTCTTTTCTGTTCGTCCCGCGGTTGGCTGTGTTGTCGCCCCTACGCTTGCCCGGCGTTTCTGTCTGTCCCTCGGAAAAGCCAGGCCAAGAGCGGTAAGAGGGTGTGTGGCTGGTCAACGGCCAGAGGCGGTTCACATAATATGACACGTGAGGGCTTCCAGAAGGCAGGATTCAGACGGAAAAAGTGTGGGTGGACGACCCGTGGGTGCAGCACGATGCAAGCCGCGCCAGAAGAGGCAATAGGCCAAGCTGAGAAAGTTGAGAACTGAATGCGAGGTGGGGTGATGAGGGGATGGTTGGCACGTAGGGTGGCCGTTAGCCCTGCGACCGGCGCCGTCTTAGCTGCGTTTTTTGAACAGGAACGGGGCTGGGCGAGGGTCTCGTTGTCTGCACGAGGAGAGGGGACGCTGCAGGAGTCGACGACGGGCGACGACACGCATAGGGATATCGTGGAGCAGTGGAATGTGGAGGGGTTGTGTTGTGAGTCCGGGAGGGACAGTGTAAGTGGAGTTGGGTGGAGATGTCGAGAGATAGATTAAGAAGGGTTTGGGGCAAGGAAGGCCAGAGGACAGAAAGACAGGACAGTAAGGTAAGTCCATATGACCTAGAGGGAAAGTCGAATTGCGCCGAAAAGCAAACACATTGGTTTGTAGGTGGTCGGAAGTGGTGTAGAGAGCCAAGCAGGGCGGAAGAGAATAGGGCAGAAGGGGTGTACGAGTTGTGTTCGATGTAATTGGTGACGAAAGAGCGCCGTGTTCCAGCGTCAATCGATGACGAACAAGGCGGAACCGCGCTTGGTTGGCGTGGGTCCTGACTAGGATGTCGTGTGCTGTTGACTGACTGAGGCTATATCCATCGAGAGCAGAGTGAGAAGGGGGAAAATGGACAGGATACTTGTTCCATGCATCGAATGGCACAACACTACGACTTCCTGTTTAAGCATATGGACAGGCCAAGAACACACCAGTACGGCAAGAACAGCTGGCGCACTCAGAAGGAGCACACATGTAGCAATGAAAAAGGAAAGTGCGATACAGTGCGCCCTACAAGATACGAATACTTCTCAAGCCGGGAGATCGAGACGCAGGCCAAGCATGGGGCAAAGAAAGCAACAGCGGTGAGCAGCAAAGCAGGATGATCTGGGCGATAAGAAGTAAGACAACTGACACCGACCTCACCAACCCATCCTCTTGTCGCCATCCACGTTAGACGCTCATGTAGATAAGGCGGCCGAGTGCCCGACGGGCGACTTTCGTGTTTGCATATCTGCTTCCAAGGAAAGAGCACCCGACGGGTCCAGCAATCTACCCATTCTCCGTTTCTTTCGGGGAAAATATGCAGTAGTTATGGGAGCAGATATTTGGATCAAGAAAGAGCTATGGCGACTGGCTGGATCGCAGTTTCCTGGTATGTTGGCGTGCGGGACGAAGGCCTCCCGCGCCCCAAAAGTGCGTAATACGGTTTTGGTGTGGGCTGGAGCGTTGTGGGCCTCGCGTTTGTACAAAGTAGTGTGGTTGCCAAACCGCTCTCCTCCGGAACGGCGGGACAGACTGCCCAGGCTGCTCTCTGTCGTCCTGAGCCAGTCGCCCTGCTCCCGTCGTTCTGGGTCGCATTTACAACCACATATCGTACCTTCGCAATGTTGCTCCGCCTCCGACATCCATCTCTTTTGAGGAGAGTTTAGTATTATTTTATGTTTTGAAACAGACAATTGTCTAGTACAGACTTTCAGTACAAAAAATAGGCCCTTCCGTCTCGGTGTTGGACCCGAGACTGCCAACATAGAAAGGGTCACTGCCGTCCACTACGTCGTATATCACGCTCCCTTTGCAGCCGGATTTCCGAACATGACATTGCAATATTCATTGAACGGCACATGCCGCAGTCATGCTTGACTGCTATGGTGCACTGCTATTTGGGTGCCTTGGTTGGCTGAGCTTCTACATCTGCTGCGAGGACCTTGGCGACCATGAGAGATGAATCCAGTATATGTTTGATATTCATGAGTAGAGAGGAAAGTTGATCGCCGCAACCTATCCAGCTTCTGTTTTTCGTCTTTTTCGTTTTTATATCTCTCAGTTTCTGCGTCGTCTTCCTGCTTATGATGTCCGTCCCAGTCCGAATACACCAAGAAGGCCATATTCCATGTTATATACAGTTTCTGTGTTGCTTCATCTGTTGCACAACGTCAACGACGCAGGAATCCATCTTCTTTCATGGTCCTTGCCTACCGCCCCCGCTTGTAGTCTTTGATGTGGTCGGCAATCAACTTAGCACCTTGTTCCGGTGAGTGCTGGCGGCCCAGCGCCTCAACAAAGTCGCCCTCCGGGTCCATCAGGTAAAAGTAGATGCTGTGGTCGACCAGGTAGTCCTGGCCAGGCTTGACGTCCTTTGGCGTGCTAAAGTACACCCGGTAGGTCTTGCACATGTCCTTGATCTGCTCGTACGTGCCCGTCAGGCCGACGAAGCGCGGGTGGAACTCCACCAGGTACTTGCCGAGCACATCGGGCGTGTCACGGGCCGGGTCGCACGTCACAAACACGGGCAGCAGCGCACCCGGCTGCTCCGCTTCGACGGCGTCAAACATGCGCGCCATTTTGTCGAGTTCCTCGGGACAGATATCCGGGCAGTGCGAGAAGCCAAAGTAGACGAGCGAGAAGCGGCCCTTGAGGTCGGCTTCTGTAAAGGCTCGCCCGTTCTGGTCGATGAGGTTGAACGGGCCGCCGACTTTGGGCCGGCCGACGCCCTTGTTGGCGTCGGCGATGCGCTTGCGCTTCATGCGCTCCTTTTCGTGCTCAAAGTACCACATCAGACCGGCGCCGGCAAGGATAAAGAGCACACCTGCTTTCCACGAGAAGGGCTGGCTTGTTAGTAAGAGGATTCGTAGTTTTGTTTTTTAAAGGGAATAAAAAATGTCGTGGACCAAAGAACGACATACACCTGACCGGTACCGGCTCTTGGCCTCCTCCACCGTCTTGAATTTCGTCCTCCGCTGCATCACTGGCAGAGATTGTGGCTGCCAGTTTCCGCATGGTCCGGCTCCGGCTCTCCGTGCGGCCGTAGGCACTGGCCGGCGAGAGGTGCCGCTGCTGTTGGATGCGACCTGGCGGGCCAAAGACGTCGAGAACGGGCGCATGGTCTGGGTGGACCTGTTGCGTTGTGAAGTGAGGAAATAGTCGTTCAAGTTGCGGCAGACGCCCGCAAAGGGCGTCGCCCTCGGAATGGAGCGGCTCATCGGAGGAGAACAGCGAATATGCGATCGAGAACGAAGAAGGTCGAGACTAGTATCGAAGACGAAGGAGAAGCCTTGAGTCGCTTGGCGAGTCAATTGCAGTTGGCTGCGCCAGGAACAAGATGATCAATGTATCTGACGGGTGGCTCTGGTGTTGGTTGCGAGTTTGCTGGTTACAAACGTCAACAGGGCCGATGCTGGTGACGTTGGCGATCTTGTGGTTGCGGTCTGATGTTTGGAGCTTGCTGTCTTGCGGGCGGACAACTGAAAAATCCTTGAAAGCTATGATAATCAGCCCGGCGGGACAGAGGCATCTGGCCACTCACAGCCCACTGTATTGAGCAAGTTACGGACCCGCTTCTTAGCTCCCCGCCACCTGGGACCTTCCCTGGCAGGCACATGGACACACGCCTGCCGCGTCGCGTGTTGCACGCTGGAAATTTAAAGTGCTTTTTTTTTATCTTAGGACGGTTTCGCGGGGTGCGCCTGCCTTTACCGCATTTTGGCAGTAATTGCTTAGTTTGGCTGTGCTAGGCGTAACGTCAGCCTCGACTCCGACCAGTATCATCACTTCGTGCTCACATTGCGCCGCCAAACTCTCAATTTTATCTTGCTCCTCTTCTTGTCGTCCTGTACCAGCCACGTTTACGACTACCTGACACGCAACAGCGCACATGTATTCACCGGCTGCAAGCTGCTCGCGACCGTAAGGAAGCGCTCTGTTTCGCGCGCTGTGTGTCCTGCGCCCCTCGAGGCAAAGGCGAAAGGAGCAGCCCGACATCGCGACTCCCGATTCAAACTCGACCTTTGCGATACCCAGACCCAGCGCCAGTGCGACGGACGTCGACATACGCCATTCGCCTCCGCGACCATGCCGGCCTCCAGCGGTGCGCCGTCGCGCTCCAGCCGGTCGCCGTCGCCATTGTCCACGTCTTACTCTCAAGACTCCGTACCCGCTGAGTTCACGGGCAGCTACTTTGCGCCCATCGTCGCACCCATCGTGCGAACCGGCTCAATCGACAGCGACGTTCACATGACGGACGCTACCGACGGCACCGCCGACCACCAACCAAAAGAAGAGGGCCAGCGGTACTCGTCGCCGCTGTCTACGGCCTCGACAGGCACGTCGGCACCGACGAAAACCAGAAAGAGAAGCAATACAGGCGCCGCTGCTGCCGCGTCATTCTCATCAAAACGCGGTGGGGCCAAGGGAGCCACGTCGAGAGGCGGAGGAAGCGCGTCCAACGTGCGTCGAGGCGGCGCGGCCACCAAGTCGAAGAGGAAAGGCACAGCCGCACCGGCGACAAAGTCAAAGGCAAAGATTGGCAGTGGCAGCAGCGACAAACGAAGAGACCTCTACTCGACATCGTCTCCCAGCCCACGGCCCATCAAACGCGAATCCCACAGTAGTGACGAGGATGCGACTGGTGACAACCACTTGGAGGCGGACGACGAAGACGACGATCTCGAGGACGATCACTTGGGCGGCCACGATAGCGACGGCAGAGGGCACAGCGGCCCGGATGGCAACACGTCCGACAACGGGCCGTACTGTATCTGCCGCGGGCCCGACGACCACCGCTGGATGATCCAGTGCGACGACTGCGAGGACTGGTTCCACGGCGACTGCGTCAAGATCACCAAGGAGGAGGGCGAGGACATGATGCTGAGCTACATCTGCCCCAACTGCACAATCCCGGGACGATACGTTACCCGATTCCGCCGGCTGTGCTCACTTCCGGGCTGTCGCAAGGCTGCGCGCCTCTACGGCGACGACGGTTCGTCTCCCTTGCCGCCTGACGAAGCGAGCCACTTTTGCTCCGACAGCCATCGCGACCAGTGGTGGGATGCCCTCCTGGGACGTGTTGTCCAGGCCGACCGGCGATCGGGCGCGTCGGCGGCCAGTTCGGCCGCCGCGGAAGCCAAGATGGCCGTCGACCTGTTCACCCCCGCTCAGCTGGTTGCCGTGCTCGCGCACACCGACGAACCCGGCGTGGCCCAGATGCTGCTGCACGGTCTCGTGCCGGACAACAAGACCGCGGCCGATCTCGACGCCATGATGACCGTCGAGGAGCGCGCCACGACGCAAAAGTCGGCCGCCGACCGATACCATCTGGCGGAGCAGATTGTCATGTGCAAGAAGATGCTGCAGCTGCTGGACATGACCAAGACGCGCAGCCAGGAGGCCATCAAGGCGGGACTCGTCGAGCGCGACAGCTGCGGCTACGACGATCGCCTGCAACATGTCGCCGTGCAGCCGCACTTTTCCCTGTTCCTTGCGAGCGCCGAAGGCGTTGCGGTATTCCGCGCGAACACGCTGCAGGCGCCACAATTTGACGAGGAGGGACGTGCCATCGACTACACGACGGGCGGTGACCGCACACACGCGAACGACGGCGACGACGGCGACGACGGCGAGGACGGCAAAGGGGACAAGACGAAAAACCCAGCGACGGCGGGCATGTGCGGCAAGCGCAAGTGCAAAGCGCACGCCGGCTGGTTCTCGACGCTGGCCCGCGACGTGCGCATGCAAATCCAGGAGCTGACGCGCCAGGCCGCTGCCCTGCGCGACAACGAGACGCGCATCCGCCTCGCCGCCATCCAGCGCACATTTGTGAAACAGCACTCGGCCTACGAGGTGCGATATGTCGGCGACTCGGACAACTCCTTGACCTCGTTAGCGGGCACTGACGAGGACGAAAACGCGGACGAGGACGAGGACGACGACAGTTTTGAGAGCGAGAGTGACGAGGCGACCGAGGAACCCGGCCCTCCAAGTGATGCCGTCGACACCAAGATGGACCATATTGGCGACGAGGACGAGGACGAAGACATGGTGGACCTCGTTGGCTATGGTAACGACGACGAGGACGTCGGTGGCATCGATGCACGAGACGCATTGACGGACGGGCAACGGACAGGCGCTGTGTCGCGCGACTACACCGTATCACCGGCCTACAACCGCGGTTACGGTGGTGAAACGAAGCCGGTCAATGGCAGCAGCAGCTATGACGACGAGCTGCGGCGCAAAGGCCATAGCCCAAACACGGACGGCACAGTTAGCGACTGATAATGTCTGTTTGAAGCAGCCGGCAGGCTTCATATTGTAATGTAATATAATTGAAGAATCGCCGGTGCACTTTGTGCACTGTTTAAGTGCATTGCTTGCGGATGTCTTCATAGGAATCGCAAGGCGTTTATTTTGGGTGCCTTCATATAATTTTGGTTTGCATATACAGAACGTTCTTCTCACCACTGTCACGATCAAAGGCGGTGAAATGTTCACCTGGCAATTTATGGTATCAACGACAGTCCGTATAACAAGTTGATATCACAAAAGTGAAATTGGATCACACCACTAGATGTAGACCCTTGTGGTAGTAAGCCGGTTGGGGATTTGTTTTTGCTCTACAGCTCGTCGTCAATTTCAAAGCGGCATCCGAGAAGGATTCAAGAGAAAATGCTGTAATTTGAAATGAAAGCGTGGGAGAGAACGGGGTATAACAAACGTATCGTGACAGGTAAGATAATTGAAGGGAAAATAATAATGCTAAAGATATACAGACCGTCACCGACTAGGCATGCTTATGCCGGACGACAGTGGGGCCTGAATAGAGGTGAAGATATACATGGCCATGAGCCTGGTGATATGGACAATAAATGGTAAAAATCCAGTAACAGTGCGCAGTCGTACCTGCGAACGACCGACAGGAGAGGACGTCTGTCCAGACAAAGTAGTGACCAAAACAATAACGAAACAAGGCTCGCTAGAAATCAAACGTAGATACGATGAAAAAAAAAATACAATAAATAGGGAGGAGACGAAGTGAAATCGAAAATAACTTTCAGATGAAAAAACAAAATACCAGTCCCAAAGCAACGAGCCGTGAGGCAATGCCGTTTTTAATGCCAGCCGCGAGGCTCATTGTTGTCTTTACGAAGCCCCTTTCTTTTCTCCTCTTTCGTCCTTTTTTTGTGTGGCAGGTGAAAACAGAAATAAAAATTAAAGAGTGCCGAATCTACTCTTTTGTGATGTTCGTCGTCGTCGTAATAAGTCGTTGGAGTATTGGTATGTATGCAGGCTCTCAGTGTCGGTGACGTCGGCTCGAGTGGCCGTCCCGGTGTCCCTCACGGCGCCGAGATGATGAAGAGTGGCCGTGACCATGTCCGTGTCCGTGGCTGTGGCTGTGGCTGTGACTGCTGCCACTGCGATCCATTTCGAATTCAGCTTCTTCAAGGCGTTGCCGAATATCGCGAACGATCTCGCGAATGTGGCCAATGCGGTCAAAGTCGAGTTCGAGCTCGTCGATCTGGCTGTTGATCTTCTTGAAACGCTCAATCTCGGCATCCGCATCCACAATCATCTGGCCTGTTTCGTCATACATCATCTGGGTTGCGACCTGGGACTGTTCGCTCAAGTAGTCCATTTGCTGGGCGATGTGGTTCATTACACGCTCAAAGTATATTTCGAGGGCAGCAAGCGAGCCGTGGTCGAGCAGAAACATGCCCTGTGATGACGCACGGCTTGCCGCCCGAGACGATGACGAGCCATTTCCGCCATGAGCAAGTGCAGACTGTCCTTGGCGGAGAAGAGAGAGCTCGTCACTGCTGAGATTCAGCTCGGTCGGGTCGATGACCTGTGATGAGGGCATGGTCGTGCAGGTTTGAGAGCACGAGCGCACTAACGTGAGGCGAAATGTGGTGTTGGGAGTGCGTCAAACAATAATGGACTTCATAAAACGAGACCTCGTATTAAAAATCCAAATATTTTCTTGCTCAACTTAAACTAAAGCTGGAGCTCTTTGGTTATGTGAAGTGGGTGGTCAGAGGATCGCGAAGCTATCGAAGTAAGTAGGCTTTCGTGAACTGTGAATGGATTGCCGCTCGTTTTTGTAACGATGATATCCCAAGATCGTGTGACGAAAGACTGGGAAACAACTTTTGTTGCGTAGTGTGATGCCTCGGCCGGGAGGAGAAAGCCTGCTGTCCTACCAGTCTCCGGTCTTGAGTATGAAACCGGAAAGAGACAAATGATATCTTGAGTTCACAATAGTAGCTCCTCCTGTTTAGCCCCTTGCTCTGACCAACATACGAGGCGCAGCCTTAGTTTGTAGACGGGAGCTCTATGTCGTGATTTCGGGACGATGGTAGTTGTGGAAGCAGTCGCACGACCTCTGACGTCGGCCGGGACGATCGCCGGCGGCGACGGAAGCTGCGATCGTGCGAGGCTATAGCGAGCGGTTTTCTCTTCGTTACTTCGAGGTATGGGCTAGATTCGGGGTTGAGGATGCCGTGGAGGGTTGGGAGCGTGGCTTGATTAAGCTGTATAGGAGGCGCGCACGGCGTCATTGTTTCGAAATGGCGACGGCCGGCATTGCATATCAAGTCTAGTCTTGCGAGCGGAGAGGAACGAGCGCCAAAGCACCCTAGGCGCACCGTTTCTGTGTCGAGGAAGATACGGAGTGGAAGGGAATCGTGATAGCAGAAGATGGTTCGAGTACCAAGAATGGTCGAGGAAGAAAATGTCGCGGGGGAGGGGGTGCTCCAAAAAGGAAAAAAGAAAGCAGGGGAAAGCGAGAGGACGACAAGGGGGTGGTTATTGTTAGCCTACAAAACAGAAAACCGGCCGTTGGAAGTTTCAAACTTTTTCATGAGCAGCCACAAGCGGACCAGCAGCGAGAGACGATAGCGGGGAGGACGATGGCGGGAGAGGATAGAGGTGAACCAGCAGCGAAACACGACGTAGAATAACGAGCGATGAGCGAAAGCAGCAGCCGACTACTCAAGAAGAAACGGTGCAAGTTGGTAGATAATAGGGCAGGAAGACAGTCGGGAGCGGGAGAGACAAACACAGTAAAATAGGACGATCGTCAGAAAGATGGAAAGGGGAAAAGATGTGAAAGAAGCGTGAGGGTGCGGCGATCGAGATGCCTGTGCCGAATGTTGCAGAAGTAGGGTCGTCGGAGAGCAGCAGGTGGATATTAAGTATAAACCTCGTGCTCTGCAATTTTTACTTTATACAAGAGGAAGAATACTCCGTAGCACTCTGCAACGATAAGTGGCCGCTGGGTCCTTCCAAATTCGTGGGGGGGCCTACCCTGGCCGGGCGGTATGCTGAAATGGGTAAAGATGCTGCAGAATAAACCGCCGTCAGATTGAGGTGCAGTAGCTGGGACTCGCCGACTAAGAAAAGGTTGCAATGTTCAAATGCTGGATACTACAGAAGGTGATCCGGTGCCTTGGGTTGTTGGATGACAGGAGAGGTGGGATATTGTGTGCAGATGAAGGTGTAGGATGAGCCACCGATAGAACACGATGCCCTCTCACACGCGCCGTAAATGGTTTGTGTCGCTGTGTTTTTTTCTGGAGTCCTTTTTGTTTTGAGTTTCCGAGTCTTGTTCTTTTGTATATTGCGATTCACACCAACCCGGGAATCTCCCCGTGCCGTCTCACAAGTCGTGCCTTAAATACAAACAAGGCCAAAAGCTCAACTTCGTCTGGCCCGTTCGTGTATGTCACGATCGTATCTGATAAGATGTCGGTGTTTTCTGTATCCTTTTGTGTCTTGGATGGCTCCGGTTTCGTTTTTTTTGCTGCCGATATGCACGCAGCCGTTTTGCGTCTCGAACTGCGGGCCTTAGAGTGCCTGATTGGTGTCAGTTTCGATCGAAGCTGCACGCTGCAAGGTCCCCGATGTGAGAGTGGGGATTTTCGACATGGCCAGGAGAAGCCTGCAGGAATGGGAGTGAACGAAAAGGGATAAACGAAGAATAGCAAGACCCAAGTGGGCAATGGTGACAAAACGGGGAGACGCAGATGGAACGAAAAGGGGGAAAAAATAATGACGGGAGGGTGGAAAAGGGTTATCAGGACAGAGTGAGATGTCAAAGGCATGCAAGCCGGCGTCTCAGCGTTCTTACCTCGTCGTGTTCGGTACTCGGTGGTATCGCAGAGCCTCTAGAGATGGCGTATATGCGCGCGTGTGTATTTGTCGCGGTTCGAAGACAATGTCAACCGATGGCTGAGGCGATCGTGGTGTTGGTGACCATTAAGGCAAAACGGAATTATAAGCGAGGTTTTTCATCGAAAAAAATCGGAAAGAGAGGACAAAGAGCGTCTAGGTCAGTGACTTGCCGCCGACAGCCCGCGTCAAGCTGAAGAGTGAAGGGGAAATCGAGCCAGGAAAGAAATAAAAAAGAAGAGGAAAAGACAAAAGGGTGCGAGAGGAGAGAAGTGCGAGAAAATGCCAAATTCAGGGGGCTTTGAACGAATAGCCAGAAAGGGAAGAAACAGGAAAAGGGCAGAAGAAGGGCAGGCGCGACTCAATTACAGAATTCTATTGCTACATATGGAAGGTAAGGACAGAATAGTCAAATGCAGAACCGTTGGAAAAGGCCAGTAACAGAGTTAGTCACTCCTGCCTTTGCGCAATATTCGTTCCTGGACGGCTTGGTCGTCCTTTCCCAGGTGTTCATCCGCTTGTTCCTTCCGGCCCAGAGACGTGGCTTTGAGGTGAGGAAGGCGGCGGTTCCTTTTACCAGGCGGTTTGCTTGGTTTGTCCCCTTACGACGTGAATTCCTTGTACTTTCATCCCATGTTCCATCCCATACTATGAGCCCTCCTATTTCTACCATATTCTCCTTTTCTGTATTTTACATCGCCTTTCTATCCAATTCCGAGTCCTTCTAGGCGCGCGCACTCGCACATAACCACATGCACGCCCTTTTTGGTATCCGCCCAACTGCATATGCAGCTACGTCTAGAGTGCAGCGTCAAATTCCGGCTCCCAAACAGGAGGTGTCACTGCAGATAGCGTGGGACTCTGCAGAAAAGACCAAGCGGGGACTGGGGGTGTGCGCCAGGACGATAGGGGCCTGCAGCTGGACATCCAAGCCAATTTTTTGTACTCCGTAATTTGTACGGAATACTCCGTACGACAGACATGTGCGGCGTATTGCACTGCGTCATCTGGGACAGCCCAGATGGGCACAGACCCGAGCTCATCGGGTAGGCAAGGAGGTTAATCTTGAGAGGTCTGGTGATACTCACATGGACGACATGGGTGGTGCTCACGGTCGGAGCAGCAAGGGATAGACATGCCACGAGCTGAATGCATAAGATGAGAGGTGGCTTGGGAGATGCATCGTATCTCATTTTTTGCGGTCCGTGAGTCTGAGCAATAGTAGCATGGGAGGCGGCAGGTCTGCCGATCATTTATAATTGTGCGAGTGTACTTGTCGGATACCTTGCCGAAGATATTGTGAGGGTTTAATTTATTTCAAGCGACTCAATAAGTGGCTTTTCAAATGGTAAAATGATGCTCTTAAAATATTTGCTGACTGAAAGATGCAGGTTTTATTACAGAGAACAGCAATACAGAAAGGATACCAGACAAAAAACTTGAAAACATGGGACGAATGACCCATGGTAGAATTCTGGTGTACTCAATGGTATAAGTGGGCTGTACTGATTGACTGGTTGGCCGTGTCGAACGGAGAAAAATGGAAGGAAGCTTCTGAATACATGTTCATCCCAAAAGGAGGCGAAGCATTGGCAATGGCCGGCAGTTGCGAGCTTCCTATTCGCTATTTCGTCTTCTGGTTGTGTCCCTGGTCCGATTCCTGTCATCACATTTCCCAACGGCCGATGCAGTATGGCTTGCTGCGAGTAATCACAGCCAGGGTCTTGGGTTAAGGTTTGCTTTGGCGAGTTGGTCCGAGCATTTTTCTATCACAGCTACTGCCTGTTGGCCGTTGGTTGTTTGCTATGTGGCCTGGCCCCCAAATGAACACTCACCGGTTCCCAGCTCCATGAGGCTGACAAAAGTGCGGATATATCGTCTTTCTGAAGGGAGTGCAGAATGGGGGTCCAGTGAGAATGAGTCTGCTTTCCTCATGACTTCCGACTCTACCGCATATATGGCGAGCGTAAGAAAATAAATAAGCAAACATAAATATTATTCATATAAGATATAATAAAAGAACTGAAAACTGACAGCCCTCAAAATCGGGATGCGAAGCAGCTGGTATTGGCAGCGTTAAGTCCATCCACCTTATATTCAAATAATATGCTAAAGCCGTGATTTGTCCGATATGTGCATTTCGTCTACATCATCACCCAGTTCATCACCCAGTTCTTCGCCCAATGCGTCATCTTGACCTCACACCAATTACCGCCGAAAACCATTGGCCACCCAGTGACCGAGGTACCCGACGTGACTGGTCACAAGATGAAGATATCGGCCAAAAGAACTGCCACCGCCGTGGCGCCGGCCGTTTAGGAGCAACACAAGCCCTGTCAAGGCTGGTACGCCAACAAGACCGACAAGACCGATTAAACCACCCAGCAGCACGCGGCCCTGGAACTCGCTGCGGCGCACGACCTCGCTGTAGCGCTCGTTGCCAAAGGACACGCGGGCGTACTTGGTGTGCCAGCCCAGCCAGGGGACGTGCACCGACAGCTGCTCCTCGAGAAACTTGCGCAGGCGGTAGGTAGGACTGAGCACGGAGGCGCGCATCTCGGTGTAGTTGTGGAGGGCGAGGTCGTTGATGGCAAAGGCGTCGGGGACGCGCAAGGCCGAGTACTCGGCGAGGGCGAGGGCGCGGCGGGCGTCGGTAGAGGCGCCGCTCGTGTCGTTGTCGCCCGACGGGTTGTTGGACTCGGTGTCGGCGTACTTGTCGAGCAAGCCAAAGAGGACGCGCACGTCCTCGAGGCCGGCGTTCATGCCCTGCCCGTAAAAGGGGACCATGGCGTGGGCGGCGTCGCCGACGATGACGGCCGAGGCCTGGAAGTGCTGCGGCTTGCATTTGATGCTGATGAGCGGCAGGTGGGGGTTGCGGCGGAACGAGGCGACCAGGTCGGCGGGCGGGATGAGCTGGGTGACGCCGGGGAAGTGCTGGTCGAAGAATGCCGGCAGCGTCTGGTCGTCGGTGGCGGGCACGGCCTCGAGCTGGGCAAACTCGGCAGCAGGCATGAAAAGCGTGCACGTAAAGGAGCCGTCGTCGCTGGGGATGGCAATGAACATGAAGTCCTTGCCGGGCCATATGTGGAGGTGGTTGGGCGAGATGCGGAACTTGGCCCGGAACGCGGCGTCTGCGTCTGCTTCGCTGTCTTGTGTGTCGGCGTCCACTGCCTTGGCCTTGATCTGGAACTCACACCACAGCGTGTCGATGTAGTGCTGCTGGTAGTCCATCATGACGTACTTCATAAGGTGGTACCGGACGGGCGAGTGGGCGCCGTCGGCGCCAATCATAAAATCAAAGTCGATCTCAATCTCACGGGCCCGGCCTGTCTTCTTGTTCGGCCCGTCCTTGGACCCGTCTTGCAGCTCGAACCAAGCCTTGCGGTTGCGGAAGTCGGCGCCGGTCAACTTGTGGTTGAAGAAGATCTTGACGTTGGGCAGCTTCTCCAGGATGTCCAGCAGACGGCCGTTGAGGCCAGCACGGTCGATGGCAAAAATGGTCTGAGAAGAGGGTCAGTCCTTGAACAAATGACCAATTTTTTCTTTCTTTTCAGAGTCTGGTGAGAAGACGTACCCGGCCATGAGCATCGTAGTCCTGTGCCGCTTCATACAGATCGCCCGACGGCGTCTTGCCGTGGATCATGCGTCCCCTCATAGGGATGGTGGCGTCAAAGACATGCTCAAGCAGCGTGGCGTTGCCCGACTTCTCAAGAGCTGTGATGCCGCGTGTGGACAGGGCGAGGTTGATGGATTTTGTAAAGTTGAGCGGTGTCGTGGACGGGTCGCGCAAGTCTAGCAGTTTCTGTTAGCACTCTGGCTGCTATGAGCTCATAATCGACTCATTGTCTCAACACACCGTTTCGAAGCTCGTACACCTCGACTTCGTGTCCCCGTTGTGCGGCATAGAGAGCGGCCAATGAGCCGACAGGGCCAGCGCCCACCACGACCGTCTTTTGTCTTGCATCCTCGGCCATTTTGTGTGAGTGTGGCGCGTGGTCTGGAGATTGACTGGTTCAGTCCCTTGAGTCACTTTTGAAAAAGCCCTGTGTAAACAGCTGTGAAAACAGGTGTCGTGTGAGTGCGGAGTCTTGGATGAGTCGTTTTTACTGAGATTTCATAACTTTTCAAGCTCTTCGAAGGGGATACCTTTTGAGGTCTGAAACCGATGATTCCTTTCTCATAAAATTCTCATGACAGCCATTGAAAAGCAAAGGAAGCCAAGAAAAATGTTAGATCCTTCCCTCCGATATCGAAAGGATGAGCCGGTGCCTGCTGCGCAAGATAATAAGACGGAGTCGGATTGCTAAGGGGTTGAAAACGGAGGATCGGAGCCTGCGCGTCCCAATTGGGAAAATCTTGGAAACGGTCAATGTCGACACGTGATGAAACGGAGCTGTGCCTTTTGGTGACCCACTAGAGCCTCGACGAAGATGACAAGCCAAAAATCCCCCCTACCTAACTGTCATGACCAAAAATGCCATACGAAGGGCGCCAGGCGCAACTCACAGCCTTTTGCCCCAGACTAGACAATACAAAATCGCCCCACTTATTTATGCCGCCGCCGCCCGCGCCCTCTGTTTTACTTGCCTCTAAATCGTCTTTTGCGACGCCGAAAAATTACCATCTTGAAACTTCTCCAGCCTCGCCTGCGTTACTCTGCCACCACGCACTCGCAACGCACAACAACGGCACTTTCCACTTTCTAGAAGACTGCCGGTACGGCAGCCACACACTCTCCCTCGTCGCCATGGCCGACGAAGCAAAGCGGCCGTGTGCTGGCGGCGACTGCAGCAACGAGGCCGGCACGCTGCAGTGCCCGACGTGCTTGAAGCTCGGCATGAAGGACAGCTTCTTCTGCTCGCAGGAGTGCTTTGGCCGTAACTGGGTGCGTCCGTCCTTTGTGTCTGTCCGTTATCGACTCTGTGGAACCCTGCTGACCCTCTTTGATTTTGTTTCTTTTAGTCTTCACACAAGACCGTCCATAAGAAGGAGACCAGTACGTTACCTCTCGCATTTATGTCCCCAACGTTCCCTACTACGTGCTCTTCTTACTGACAACGGAACCCCAGAGGTCGGCTACTTCAACCCGTACCCCAACTTTCCCTACACCGGCCCGCTGCGCCCCGTCTACCCTCTGTCTGCAAAGCGCACCGTCCCCAAGACGATCCCCCACCCCGACTATGCTGCCGACGGCATCCCCAAGACGTCCCGCTCGCTGCTGCGGCCAAACAAGGTCGAGCTGCTTGACGCCAAGGCACAGGAGGGCATGCGCACCGTGTGCCGGCTGGCCCGCGAGGTGCTCGACATTGCCGCTGCTGCGCTGCGCCCAGGCATCACGACCGACGAGATTGACGAGATTGTGCACAAGGCGTGCATCGAGCGCGACTCGTACCCCTCGCCGCTCAACTACAACCACTTCCCCAAGTCCGTGTGCACGTCCGTCAACGAGGTCATCTGCCACGGCATCCCCGACAAGCGCGTCCTGCTCGACGGCGACATTGTCAACCTCGACGTCACGCTCTACCACAAGGGCTACCACGGCGACCTCAACGAGACGTACTACGTGGGCGACCGCGCACGTGCCGACCCGGACTCGGTGCGCGTCGTCGAGACCGCCCGCGAATGCCTCGATGCGGCCATCCAGCTGGTCAAGCCTGGTGCTCTGTACCGCGACTTTGGCAACGTCATTGAGAAGCACGCCAAGTCGCGCGGCTGCAGCGTGATCCGCACGTACGTAGGCCACGGCATCAACTCGGTGTTCCACGCGCCGCCCAACATCCCCCACTACGCCAAGAACAAGGCTGTCGGCGAGTGCAAGCCCGGCATGACCTTTACCATTGAGCCCATGGTGGCGCTCGGCAAGTACCGCGACGTGACGTGGCCGGACAACTGGACTAGCACGACGATTGACGGCAAGCGGACGGCGCAGTTTGAGCACACGCTGCTCGTCACAGAAACCGGCGTCGAGATCCTCACGGCGCGGACAGCAAACTCGCCGGGAGGGCCGATACCCATGCCCGAGACCAACGGTTCAGCATAGGGCGAGACGTCTTACGTTACTTTGTTTGATCGTGCGGTGTAGTTGACAAATTCTGAATTAATGAGGGCATGGGATAGCGAGATTTGAGTTTGGTGGTTGGTGACGGCAAAAGCCAAAAAGAAAAAGCAAAACTGTAAGAGTGTAAGGCGCAAGGAGCAAATAGCATGATAAATCGTTACGAGCGAAAGCGCAATGAATAGAACGCTGCTTTTTCCGTCATCCTCTTGCTTGTTTACTTTCGACACGTATCCTACGCCACCTGTCCTGTCAATGACGTTGTTTCTAGAACACCCATCTGTCATTCATCATTAGGCTACTATTCTGTAGAGGGTATGTGCGAGAGGTGTTGTCACTGACGTCGACTCGCAGCTGCTGACGCTGCCTTCTTCTGTGAGTTGTCTGCCCCGCATATTTCGTAGGTCTTTGAGCCAGGCCCACTGTCGCATTCGTCAGGGCATCGTCGACGGCTACAGGGGATTGCCCAGCCACCGACAGCTCCGTTGAAGGTACCAATACACTGGATATTGCGGCAAAGATACCTCCCGCACCCCGAGCCCACAACCAGGATGTTAGCCTCTCCTTCTGTAATGCTCCTAATTTCGTATTTTTTCTTGTGCCTGCCCCCATAAATGCACAAAGCCACAAGCACGCTGCGCCAGCCATTTTTGCGAAGCTTCGGTCGGCGCTTTCTTTGCCCCTTCTCCTGCCGTCCACAGCTTTCCTTTTTCGCAGGCTTGATTACGCCTCTTTTGGGCACCTTCCCTTCCATCTCTTCTTGCTCCTTCCCTCTCTCCACCACCACCACCACCACCACCGACCTCCCCTCCTTTCTTCGACACATCGCTTCTCTGACTCTCCCACTTTTGCGTCCTCTCCTCGACCTCGACCGTCGTTTGTCAACCCGGTTGTCACACGTAATCTCCTCAATCGCGCAACTATCGCCACATCATCTCCTGTACGTTGCATCCCGGTTTGTCGGCTTCACACCCTTGGCAGCCTTGGTTTTGCGCTTGGGGAGCACGTCACATCCCACGAGATCAAAACAAAGCGAGTTCCTCGCTCGTGCTCTACGTTTCTTTTTGACTCGAGGCCAGACTGTGTGACTGCCTGGTGGCCTTTGCTCTCGAGGCCGAGCTAGGCGCCAGCCTCTCCATTACTTGCAAACACCGTTTTCTCTTTGGCTTCCATGGTGCTTGCAGCATTGTCTGTCTTTGTTTCCGTCTTCTAACATCTCGCCACAGCTTCGATTGCTTGCGCTTCGTCTCCGACCTTTGTCCAACGAAGCTTTCTTCTCCCCACCCAATCTACCGAACCAACCGTCACAATGTCTGGAGAGGCATGGCTGTACCTGTTCGCCGTGTTGATAAACGCGGTGAACCTGTTCCTGCAGGTCTTCTTTACGATCATGTACAGCGACCTGGAGTGGTATGTCGTGCGGCCTTGCCGAGTGCACTGGACATCGATGCGTGTTGCGTCTTGACGCCCTGCTAACAATTGTGTAGCGACTACATCAACCCCATTGATCTCTGCAACCGACTCAACACGTACATCATTCCGGAAGCGGCCGTCCACGGCTTCCTGACCTTCCTGTTCCTCATCAACGGCTACTGGCTGCCTCTGATTCTCAACGCCCCGCTCCTCGCGTGGAACGTTAAGAAGTATGTTGCGACGAGCAAAGCCCCGTTTCTGTTTGTGCCGGGTCGTGCCGTGGAGACCCCGGTCCGGCCGTGGCCCTTTGGGAATTTCTTACACGTGCTAACCTCACAATCCTAGAATCATTGACAACACTCACCTGCTGGACGCGACGGAGATTTTCCGGAAACTCAACGTCCACAAGAAGGTTGGTTGCTGTGTTCCCCCCCTCCTGGCTTCCCTGTCAAGCTCCAGTGGCTAACAAACCTCTAGGAATCCTTCATCAAGCTCGGTTTCCACCTCGTCATGTTTTTCTTCTATCTGTACAGCATGATCGTCGCTCTGATCAAAGATGAGGGCCACTAGAGTTCCCTCCTCTGCTCCGCGGATACGATAACCGCGACCATGAAGGCGACTGACACCGTCATCAGGCTGGTGGGAGACAAAATGTCAACTGTACCCAGAAGACAACCATTGGACCAATCAGACCAACCACAAACGTTTCGACCAGAGCCAGCCGGCAAGACGCCGATGAGTTTATCAATTACGCGTGGTGGATGAGTCTCACTGAGGTGACTTTGTTGAAGACTGGCATATTGATTTTTTACTGCTGCGTTGCACTTATACACGGTGTGAGTGTTTCTTGGCCGGGGCGATGGTGTAGTTGGCTTCCCGCACCTTGTTGCAGGCCTGTCGACGCATAGACGAGGGACGACGAGGGAATCGAATCTTACGAGCATGGAGCGCTACGAGTGGGATGAGAAAGACAGAAAGCGGGTGTATATTGGGGGATGCATGGCTGCAGTTGAGCGCAACGTGAAAGCGGGTGAGACTTGATTTCTTTTGGCTTTTTTTGTTCCTTTTCATTTTTTGGTTTACTGTCGGTCTTCCGGGCTCTTCCTCGCGGTCGAGGCATGGTAATGATGTGCATATTTTCGCGTTTTTATTGTCGCCCGTGTTTATACCTGTGTGAAAACACACTGCTCTGGCGCTCATAGGTGTTTTTATACGACTGCCAAATATACCTGTTAATGTCCGTTTGCATGAATGTTTTGCCTCTTGTTGCTTTTATGCGTTTCTGCTTTGTCCATTGTCTTGAAGCTCACTGGCATTGTATGCTGTTCCCGTACCGTGGGGAGGCATGTCTGAAATTTATATGAGATACGGTATTGTGAAAGGGACTTCAATTCAAACCCAGTATAGAAGGCCATGACGACAATTGCACCGGATGATGAAGCTCAAAGTCGCATATTGATGATTTCACATGTCCAGCTTGCTTGGAGTGGTCGCTTTAATCACGTGACTCTCCTACCGCTTTATGCAACAGGGTTGTTTATTTTAGGACCCGTTTAATCTGGCATGGCAAGCTTCGACAATATTAAATCTTCTGCCGCCTTGCAGTAGCCCGCGGTCCAACAGCTTTGCGGCACCTATATTGACGACGTCTGACGCGGCTTTGATTCACCTATTCGCGACAGCATCGCGAGAGCATCCGCGGAATTTTCGACTGACCGACATCCCATTCGACACACGACACATCCCTCGTCCCATCCATTGCCGTCCTCGCCATGGCCGACTTTGGCGACTACCCGCCCAACATGGCGCCGCAAGACGCCCTCGTGGTACGGTCGCAGGCCGAGCCCGACCACGCCGTCGTGCCCTACTCGGCCGAAGACTTGGCGCGCCCGACCGTGGGGCCGGCCAACCCGTTTCGGCGCGCCAACATTGGCAGCAACACGCAGCTCGTGCGCAGCGCGGCGACGGGCACGGCGAAGCGCAAGAACGTGCTGTCGGGCACGGCCACGGAAGAGTTTGTGAGCGAGCACACGTTCCGGAGCAAGCACCGGGCGGTCGAGCGGCGCGGCGGACCGGCGCGGGTGGTGCTGACGGGCGACGAGGTCAAGGCCCAGAACGCGGCCGTGCGGGCCGCGCGCGAAGGCAAGGGCAGCGCGACGGTGGCGGACGGCGACGGCGCGTACGTGGGGCCCTGGGCCAAGTTCCAGCGCAAGACCGTGTACGACGAGGTCGACGAGAACGACGAAGACGACGGCGAAGGCTACGAGTATGAATACGAGGACGCGGACGAGGATGTGGTGGAAAGCGGCACAGTGATCCCGGCGCCGGCGCCGGCATTGGCGCGGCGCAAGCAGCTCGAGACCGTGGGCGACGAGACGACGGCGTTTGTGGGCAGCGAGCAGTACGACTACCAGGGCCGCACGTACATGCACGTGCCACAAGACCTGGACGTGGACCTGCGCAAGGAGGTCGGCAGCATCACCAACTTCATCCCGCGCAAGCTGGTGCATACGTGGAAGGCACCCACGCCGGGCCAGGCGGTGACGGCACTGCGCCTGTTCCCCGACTCCGGCCACCTGATGCTGAGCGGCAGCGCGGACAACACGGTGCGGCTCTGGGACGTGTACCACCAGCGCGAGCTGCTGCGGACGTACACGGGCCACAAGCGGGCGATCACGGACCTGTCGTTCAACCGCGACGGCACGCGATTCCTGACGGGCTCGCACGACCGGTGGATGAAGCTGTGGGACACGGAGACGGGCCAGTGCATCAACCGGTTCCGGACGGGCAAGACACCGCACTGCCTGGTGTTCAACCCGTCGGTGGAGGGCGCGCACGAGTTCTTGTCGGGCATGTCCAACAACAAGATTCTGCAGTGGGACACGCGGGCTGCCGCCAGCAGCAACGGCGGGGACGGCGGCGACAACGTCAACGAGCCCGTGCAAGACTACGACCACCACTTGGCGGCCATCAACACGATTACGTTTGTCGACGAGAACCGGCGGTTCATGACCACGTCCGACGACAAGTCGGTGCGGGTGTGGGACTACAACATCCCCGTGCCCATTTCGTACACGAGCGAGCCGTGGATGTACCCGCTGACGCGGGCGGCGCTGCACCCGAGCAACAAGTACGTGGCGTACCAGTCGGGCGACAACCAGGTGCTCGTGTACTCGGCGCGCGACAAGTACCGGCAGAACCGCAAGAAGGCGTTCAAGGGCCACAACAATGCGGGCACGGCCATCGACGTGGCCATCAGCCCCGACGGGCAGTTCTTGGCGTCGGGCGACACGTCGGGGTATGTGTGCTTCTTTGACTGGAAGACGTGCAAGATGTACGAGAAGCTCAAGGCGGATCCGACGGGCGGGTCGGTCAACCATGTCGTGTGGCACCCGCAGGAGACGAGCAAGGTGGTGACGGCGGGCACGCACGGCGACATCAAGTTGTGGGATTAGGTGGGAATCGGGACGTTTGGATTGGGGAATCGCAGCATATTTCGGCGTTTGCGTACAGGTTTACAGGGGACTCGGCTTTTTGAAAACGGATTTGTTTAGGCAAAATATATCACATTCAGCGTTACATAAGAAATCTATGATTTTAGAATCTAACAACCCGGCTATTCTTCATCGACATGAACCCATTTTGTACAGAATACAGTCTCGTTGCCAGCAGAAACATGGCAACGAGAACAAGGAAAGGCAGAACTCCAAAAAGAAGACAACATATATCGCTGACACATCCAAGAAAGGGCCCCGGGGAATACACACAATTGCACGCTCGTCTATGTAAAAGGAAAATCAGACAGGAACACGCTCTAGTTCCGCAAGAACGACTTGAAGACGTTGCTCTCTGTGCAGTCGACCCAGGGGTAGCCAATCTCGCTCAGGTACGTCTCCAGCTCGCCGACCTCGGCATCGGGGCACAGGATGCCTGTCAGCACCTTGCCAATGTCGCTGCCCTCGTTGCGGTACTGGAACAGGCTGATGCTGTAGCGCGGGCGCAGCGTGGCCAAGAACTTGTCGAGGGCGCCGGGCCGCTCGGGGAAGTTGAACATGTACAGGCGCTCGTGGGGCACGGTCGAGCGGCCGCCCATCAGGTAGCGGATGTGGCTCTTGGCGAGCTCGTCGCCCGACACGTCGACGGCGTGCATGCCCTCGGTGGAGGCAATGCGGGCCATCAGGTTGCCGAGCTGCTGCACGCGCTCCGCGGCGTTGGCCGCCGTCAGCGACAGCCCCAGCAGCACATTGGCGGCGCGGCCGTCGTTGTAGCGGTAGCTGAACTCGGTCACGGCGTGGGGCATGATGGCGTCAATGAGCTCGGCGAACGAGCCGGGCCGCTCGGGGATCTCGACGGCCAGCAGAGCCTCCTTGCCCTCGCCCAGGGTGGCGCGCTCGGCGACAAAGCGCAGGCGGTCAAAGTTCATGTTGGCGCCGCTCGTGATGGCGACGAGGGTGCGGGTCGGGTCGGACGACGGGTTCTGGGCGACGTACTTTTTGAGGCCGGCCAGCGCCAGCGCGCCGGCCGGCTCGACAATGGACCGCGTGTCCTCAAAGACGTCCTTGATGGCGGCACAGGTCTCGTCGGTGGTGACCTGGATGACCTCGTCCACGACCTCCTGGCAGATGCGGAACGTCTCCTCGCCGACGGCCTTGACGGCGGCGCCGTCGGCGAACAGGCCCACCTCCTTGAGGACGACGCGCTCGCCCTTGGCCAGCGACTGGACCATGGCGTTGGCGTCGTACGCCTCGACGCCAATGATCTTGACGTGGGGTGCGATGCGCTTCACATAGACGCCGACGCCGCCAATGAGGCCGCCGCCGCCGACGCAGCAGAAGATGGCCTCGAGCTTCTGGATGTTGGTCTGGCGCAGCAGCTCCATGCCAATGGTGCCCTGGCCGGCAATGACGTACGGGTCGTCAAAGGGCGGGATGTCAATGAGGCCGTCCTGCTGCACGCGGCGGGCACACTCCTGCTTGGCCGCGTCAAAGTCGGGCCCGTGCAGCACGACGTGGCCGCCCATCCGCGAGACGTTCTTGTGCTTGATGCTGGGCGTGCCCTCGGGCATGACAATGGTCGCGGGAATCTTGAGCTTGCGGGCCGAGTAGGCGACGCCCTGGGCGTGGTTGCCGGCCGACGAGCAGACGACACCGCGCCACGACTGGGCCGGGTCGAGGTGGGCCATTTTGTTGTAGGCGCCGCGCAGCTTGAAGCTGAAGACGGGCTGCTCGTCCTCGCGCTTGAGCAGCACCTTGCACTCGAGGCGGTTGCTGATGTTGACAGCGTGGCTGAGGGAGGTCTCCTTGCAGACTTCGTAGACGCGGGAGGTGAGGATCAGGCGGAGGTAGTCGGGGTGGCCGTTGGGGAGGATGAACTCTTCGGGCAGCAGCTTGCGCACACGGGCGGCACGCTCGTCGGCTTCAGCCGTGGCGAAATCGACCAGAGACTCGGTCCGTGACAGGCCCGATACACTGGGCGTCCGTGCCGGTGTTGGGCGGCCGGGGCTGCTGGTGCCGTTGCCATTGGGAGGAGTCGTGGTCGAGGTAGAAGAGGCGGCGGCCGCCGACGACCGCAGCGGCACCGCATTGGGCGAGCCATTGACGACGGTGCTGCCGTTGGGCTTGCCTGTTGTTGGATCGGACATGATGGGTGTTTGAGTGTGCGTAAATATTGGTGGGTGCTGTGAAATCAAACGGTGAGGCTGAAGAAAGAAAGAAATAAAGAAAACGGGGAGGAGGTCAAATTGATATATGTGAAAAACCCTTTGCAGAGTCACCGCTACCGGCAATCGCTAACAAAGCTCTGAATTCGGAAAGAGATAGCTAGCCGCAGAAAAAATGACGGAAAGTGCAAACAGAGCCGCGCTAGGACACAAAAGTCTATAGCGGGTTTGCACCGTTGTCTGCTTGTGCTACAGCCTGCCGGAGACAGCAGCCACCAGCAGCTTCAGCGTCCTTGGATGGCCGATAGCGGGGTTCTGTGGCAGGGAGCACAATTTTTGACCCTGTATTAGTTGCCATCGTTCAGTGGATATCTCGCGTCGCACAGGGTGCACATGGCCGCTGTGAGTGGGGTGAGTTACCAGCAGTGAGGCACCACCGGAGACAGCGGCAACTGGTGCACATTGGCTTAAATTTGTTGCACTGGCGTACTACACAGGCAAAATCAGACCATCTTTCTGCAAGTATCTCCGTTTGATTATTCTCACAGTTTTGAACCGCATCCGTTTTTGCAACGACCTCACACGACCACCATTGACGACACCTCACGACTGATACAGGCACACGACCACCGACAACACAGCCTACACAGGTGCACAGACACACAGATACAACGCTTGCGCAGCCACCGGCACAACCGCCGGCACAACCGCCATCATGTCCAACCTGCCGCCGTCCGACGGAATGCCGTCGTCGTTTGACAGCAATGCGTGAGTCTTGCTCCACCGTTCTCTTTCGTTGTCTTGCGGCAGCTGCTGACACCTCCCCTCCCCCCACCCCTCAGAGAAAATCAATCGACGCCCCTGCAACGATTCGGCCGCAAGCTGCTCAAAGAACCGCTCATTCCCATCGGCTGCATCGTGACCGTCGCCGCCTTTATCAACGCCACCCGCGCCATCCGCAAGGGCGACCACCACCAGGCCCAGCGCATGTTCCGTGCGCGTGTGCTCGCGCAGGGCTTTACCATCATGGCCATTGTTGGCGGCGGCATCTACCTCGCCGACGACCGGAAAAAGGAGCGGCAGCAGTGGGCACTGGAGCGGCAGCAGAAGCAGCAGGCGGAGACGGAGAAGTGGGTCAAGGAGCTGGAGGCGCGCGACGCCGAGGACAAGGCGCTGCGGGAGCGGATTGCGCGGCGGAAGGAGCTGCGCAAGGCCACCGGGGCCGCGGGCGGCGTGAGCGACGAGGCGGCCGAGGCGGAGCTGGAGGCACAGCTGGTGGCGGCGGCCGAGCGAGAGGCGCGTGCCCAGGCGGCCGCCGCTGGAGGAAGCAACGGCGCAGGCGGTGGCGGTGTGCTGGCAGCACTGGGAGGACTGTTTGGTGGTGGACGAAGCAAGAAGGACGACGGCGCGAGCAGCCCAGCAACACCGGCGACGGCACCATCAACAGAACCAGAGGCCGAGGCGGAGGCCGGAACATCATCACAGCCCGCCGAGTTCAAGAAGGGCGTACGGAAGAGCCACGGCCGGAGCCAGCTGGATACGCTGGGCGACCTGTTTGGCAAGCGGGGGAGCGGTGCAGACGGCGAGGAGAAGAAGTAAAGGAGTGTGGTGGACAAAATTGTAACAGTACGCGACAAACTTGCACGAAACGATTGTACATAAGATTGACACAAAACAGGTTGGGCACTTGGTACCTGGATGGAATAATAGCATAGTGTGGAGAGAATATAGCTCTACTCAAATTTCAAAAACGATCACAATGGCAATCGATACGTAACAATCATATAACCCAGAGGCCACCCGTTATCATAAAACGCCAAACACACGCTCATACCATACTCCCTCCACTCCGATTGGCACCGACCAGGCCGGCCATTTCCAACAGAGCACGGTCTGCGTCGACGTCGCCCGTGCCCAGGTTGATGCGCCGCCGCGCCTCGGCCTCTCGCGCCTCCCAGGCCCAGCGCTCTGCCTGTTCCTTGGCCTCGTCGTCGCCGCCGCAGCCCCAGACTTCGAGCGCTTCGATGGAGAAGCGGTCCTGGAAACTAAACATGCGGGCAGCACTGGGATGGAAGGCGCCGCCCGCGCCGCCACTGTGTGCCTTGGCGCCGTGTCCCCGATCGTGCGTCATGGCGCCAAACTCAAAGTTGCCGTCAATCATGAGCGACAAGGGGCCCAGCGGCAGGATGCCCTCGACGGCGGACTGGACATGCTGGTGCTGCCTGAGGCTGGCCTTGACTGCAGCACCCGTGGGCGAGGGACAGCCGAAGCCGATGCCGCCGGCGTGGTTGTTGGCGACGGTCGGCTTGATAAAGGCGACATAGTCGCGGTTGATCGTCGACGCCCCAAACACATCGTGCACAGGGCTCAGCTGAAACAGCACGGTGTCGCTGTCGCCAAAGCAATCGCGATGCGTGAGACGCCAGGGCTGGCTGACGTAGGCGCCAAAGATGAGTGTCTCGTCGTCGCCGTCGTCGCCACCGCCGTCGTCCACACGCTTGCCATTGCCATGCGGGAATCGCCGTGGAGGCAAAGCGGATGCAAAGGTGGCTTCCGGGCCACGCGGCGTGTCGCTGATGCGCGTGCCTTTGACGAGTAGGATGGTCGGCGCACGCCAGTTAAAGACCTTGGACTCAAAGGAGCCCATGGAGAAGCCGTCGTTGTCGCCCGAGTAGAGCGGGCGCATGCGGTGGAAGAGGGAGGAGCCGGGAAGGAAGAAAGACAGCTGGGAGAGGATGTTGAGGTTCATGATTTTGTTCGCAGAGTCTTGGATGAGGAGTGGAGGAATGGGTATATTAGTTGCTGCAATCGTGGCAGCCGACGACTTTCGCCTGGCGAGCGTTGGCGGGGAGGTTGTTGTGGTAGTGCCTGTGGTGCTATCTGTGTTCGCATCGCTGGCGCTGGCGCCAGCGCCAGGCTTCGTCCGTGACAAGTCGAGGTTCTTGGAAAACAAAAAGTGTTCAAACAGGGCGTTGAACCCGCTAAAGAGGAACGGGAAGCACACGGGAACGATGGCATCAAAGTGGGCAAACTTAATGCCCGGCGATGTCTCGACATCGAGGAACGTGGCCAGTATGCACTGGGCCGTCTCCCGCAGGCTCTCCAATGCATCTCCCGTAAAACGGCCGGCGTAGAGGGAGATTGGTTCCTGGGGGCCCAGTGGTGCCACCAAGATCAGCAGCATCAGCAGTCGCCGGAAGTTGTCGGCAGGGATGCGTGCACCGTGGAGCGTAGCGGCAATGTCGGCCGCCTTTCTCGCTGACGCTTTCGGGCCCGTGGGTACCGAGCTGTTGATGTAGTCGAGGGCATCAAAGGCGGCCAAAGCGAGCTCGTCATTGTCGTCGTTTGGCAGGTCGTCGTCGTAGCCGTCATTCTCATCGGCAGGGCTGCCCTTCACGACATCCTCTTCGCCGTCGTTGTCATCAATGGACGCGTCCACGGCAAAGCCCTCGTTACCTGTTGGCACAGTCGACTGCGCGCGTGCGGCAGCCGCGGCCTCTTTTCTGTCCTCGGAAAACAGTTTGCGGTCGTGCACGGCCAGACTGCGGAAAAGAAGCGTGCGGCGGTCGCTCGCACCGTGGGCCAGCACGCGCTTGTACCGGTCGGTCAGCAGCGTGACCACAATGACCAACTGTTCGAGGCCCAGCACAGCGGGCGCATCGGACAAAAAGGGGAAGGCTCCGAGGTACGAGACCATCTGGAACACGACCGGCGACACGCCCAGGATGTCGGGGATGGCCAGGAAGCGCGCGACGGTGTCTTCCTTGAGGTAGCGCAGGACGTGGGGCTTCCTGCTGTGCTCCTCAGTCGTCTTGTTGCTTGTTCCGCTGCCGTTGCTGCTGACCGTGTTGTCGGTATTGTTTCCGCTTTTGCCACTTTCGGCGCCATTCTCACCATCCTCTGGATGGCTGCTGTCCCGAGTGATGTGCGGACTCTCCACCGTGGCGTCTGCGAGGCTCTTGAAGTTGTCCTTGAGCGAGTAGAGCTCCAGGGAGGTGAAGCACTTTTGCGCGAAGCGGTTTGCCTGTCAATGTTAGAGAGGGCTGTTCAACACAACGATAATCTCTGCTAGGGGATGTCCTTAGGCTCTTACCAGCTCTTTTACGAGCTCCTCGTGCGACCGCTGCAGCGATGGCGGAGTCGACTGGCCTTGGCCCATGGCGGCAGTAGATTGTAGTGGTTCGTACTTTTGTAATAGGAAGTGGTTGCACCAAACGACAAGCTATCGCTCTCTCGTCCGTTTCTTGCTCAAAGTCGTCGTCGATGCCTCGTTATCCGTCTCGTTCCGTCGAATTGACTCTGCACAGAGAGCTCGTTCCAGTTGCAGATGCAAGTGCAGATGCGCTGTAATCACAAACAGTCGCCGTCATCGTGGTGCAGAGGACAGCGAGCAGTGTGTGCGCGCGAGGAAAGCCGCAGTGTATCAATTGTCAATGGATGCGATGTAGTCGTTGTGGGTTTCTGTGTTGCGTATGTCTCGACACCGTTTTGCGCATTTTGTGTGTGGAAGCAAATGAGATGTGAGACCAGGCAGCCGATTTAAAAAGTAAGAGCCCCAAGTCAACAATTCGAGGCAGCATGTCTCGTATAGTTCGGGCACCACATGATTGGGAAGGAACGAAGTACTCGGCCCTGCAAGGAAGGAATGCACGACTTGGCGGCGGCGAAGAGGCGACCAGCTACGTAAAGCTCATGTGGGGTCCTAACCGGTCCTGGTTGGTGAGGCGGGGAAGGCACAGGTATTACTTACTTCATAGTACAAAGAACCATTTGGAGAAAGGTGAGGGCTGCGACAGTGTCCTCCGTAATATGGACCAACACGGTGTGGCATAATAACACGCCATGCCACAATTCCCAACGGATTCCTTACTCTAGGTAAGGCAGCTTATCGTACTGGTTTGACAGGCAAGTTCCAGACCAAACTCGCATCATGTCTCAGTATTGGTAAACGTGAAAGCCACTTTCTCGATCCGTACAGTGCACAACATTCTCATAAGAGAACTGGTCAAGTGGACGTTACAGCTTCATGCCTTTACACAGAGGTATGTGGGAGTCGATTGGGCCCTAACCACCACAGTTCATGTTCAACGTAAAAGTTGTTTCTGAACACGGATTGGACTGATTTTACAGTGTAAAATCGTTAAATGCTGATGTGTTCTTGGCGTCGTGGCCTGGATGTATCCTTTGTTGCTTTGGAACTCCTCTTGTCCCCCTCTCTACAACTGTCGTTCTGATCTCTTTAGCCACTGCGTGTCAATAAAAGCTCCGGTACTGCTCTTGGCGAGGATGCTGGGCCGTTTATCATGATGCCGGTGCCGGCTGCCACCGGCTCCGGTGTATCGCCACGTTGGTCCAAGAGCACATCTAGACCACTCTGAATCCCGACGCGCCACTAGGCCTCGCTGCTGTTATAATCGGGATCACGTTCCAGTGCCACGTGCTCCGTGTCCCGGGACGTTTCAAGATTGCACACGTCGCCGCCATAGTCGTCTTGGCCGTAGTCTCCTGTGGCTTCCCAACCAGGTCTACTCCACAATCTGTCCACAGAGACCTTGAACAGTGGCGAAGACCATAGCATTGTATCCACGCCCAGGCTCGAGATGCCCGTCCACGCGATCCTGAAGCACATGACTCCGTCGTACAACATTATTGCCGGCACGCTGTTGCTTGAGAACCTGCCCTTTATTATTTCCACCAGCGTATATGTTGGGTCCTCTCTTGGCCTTGACTTCCTTAGATGGAAGAAAGCACAACACACAGAACCTGGACTTCAAGCCATTTTCCTGTGTAAAAAGTGAGATATAGAAATCACATTAGTGACAGCGATATTATCTTGATTCTTTATTTCTTTCTTCCCCTTTGACGGTATGCGACACAGTGAATTTACACCCTCAAATGCGATTTGTGTTTAGTTTGGTGCAGTTTGGGACCTTGAAGGCAGCTCCCAGCTCAGGCTCCACTCTGCGTGCTGCCTGATTGGATGACTCACCCTCACAGCGAAAGGGCCCACTATATTTTTTGGCTGCTCTTCCCATAAATAAAATTTCGTGGTGCCCAAAATTTCGTCCTCCCTTTCTTCTTCTTTTTCTCTTCCTCGGGGAACGCATCGCCCTCGTCAACGTCGCGCCTCCATGCCACAAACGGAAAAAGAGAAGCCACACAAGCGGTACGAATGCTGTGCGAAACGAGACATGGGGCATTGACGACAAGCAGACACGATGGAGTGAGACACCAAACCCGACCACGATGTTGGCAGTTATACCTTGCCCCCAGCACGGACAAGGAAAACAGGTCAGAAAAAGGATGGGGGCTCCAAAAGGGCTTCTTCCTTCAGCTTCGTTTCGTCTGGGGCCCGAGGGCCGTCGTTTGTGGTCGGGTGGTGTGTCCATGTCAGTCGTGTCGTGTCGTCGTGTCTCGCCTCTCGTCAGCGCGTCTTTCCCTGTTGCGTGCTGCTCTTTTTCACCAGGAACACTTATTTCCCTTGCGCATGAGAAAAAGTCGGTGAACAGCTTCATACACGCGGTTTCTTTCTCTCCCCGGGGAGAAGAAACGGCTAGCCTGAAAGGGCCTTGCGCCACTGTGCGTCTGTGATTGGCATCAGAAAAGCAGGGGGCGGTGGGCAGAGAGGAGTACGGTCGTCTTCCTTTTGGGGGACGACTGGTCTCTCTTTTTTGTCACATCGCTTTCCTATGGGAGAGCCATCGCGAAGCTTCGTGGTCGCCGGGTGTCTCCTCTTCTCTCGAAGGGGAGGACGATGGGATAACACATTAGTTCGATGCGCGACGTGGGGCTCGCATTCTTTTGGCCCTCTTCGTTCTTCTTTCGGGTTTTTGGTCTCTTGGCCCTTCTTTCCCCTTTTCCTTTTCCTTGTCACTTTGTTGTGTTCCCTGTCTTTGTCTTGTGCCATATAAACTTCTGCCGTCCTTGAAAGAGGGCGGTAGGTCTGGTACAGGAGGGGACAGGTCGCGGCGAGGGGACTTGGGAGGAGATTGGGAGGGCAGGGGTGCCCCAAGGCATCGAGGATGCGAAGAGTCCGAGGAGAGTCAGGTGTGCATTTACGAGGCCTCCATATTGCAATGCCGCTTATTCTTTCGAGGGCGATGCGTTCCCCCTATTTTTTCCCCCCCCTACGTGAGTTGATCTTCCCTAGACGACTGGAAAGGACGCCTTTTGCCGGGGATACTGCTAACAGAGGTGTGGCCTCCCATCTCTCGACAGATGGTCGGTGGATGAGGCGTTGGAGGGAGAGAATGTGGCACAAGAGGCGGAACGGGGGGTAGTGTTTGTTTAACATGAGGTAGCGTCATTATTTGAATTGATCATGACTGTTTCATCTATCATCATCTATCATACAGTGCTTGGGTGTCTATGTACGTGAACGACTCTGCTATGCCTACGTCGACACGCCCGTTTTTCTGTGTTTCTCCAGCGCCGCCATGTCCTCTGGTTGCTCAAAGGCAGCCGTCATCACTGTCTCGGCCACCTGCAGCAGCCGTGCGTCGTCAAAGAACTGCCCGATCAGCTGGAAGCCCGGGCAGAAGGCCTCCGCCTCCGTCGCCGTGCCTGTGTCCGCCGCCGGCATGGGGATGCTGATGGCCGGCAGGCCTGCCAGACTCGCCGGCACGGTAAAGACGTCGTTGATGTACGCATCCACGGCCGACGGTGCTGCTTCCACATCGGCCACTCGCGGGGCCGGCGTGGGCGCCGTCGGGCACAGCAAGAAATCGACCTGGGCCGGGCCTCGCTTGTCGGCCAGCGGCAGGCCCTCGGGCAAGTCGCTCAAGTCAATGTGCCCGCGTGCGTCGTCCGTGTAGACGCCCTGGTGCTCGCCCACGGGCTTGTGGTCCCGCAGCGGGTTGGGCAGCCGGAAGACGGCGTCAAAGTCGCGCACGATGACGCGGCGGACACGCTGGGCTTGGACAAAGTAGTTGTCGCGGGCCGAGGAGCTGAGCACGTAGTTGCCCAGCAGGATGCGGCGCTGCACCTCGCGTCCCAGACCCGCGCCACGCACGCGCTCGTACAAAACGGCCTCGTCTTGCTCGCCGTCGGCCTCTCCGGTGGGTGGCGTAGTTTCCGGTTTCGTTTCCGGCTCCGCCTTTGCTTCTGCCTCTGAAGCTGTTTCCACCTCCGCACCCAGGTCACCGATTTGGCCATAGCGCACGCCGTCGTAGCGGGCCAGGTTGGAGGCCGCCTCGGCGGGTGCGATCACGTAGTAGGCCGACAGCGCGTGGCGTGTGGAGGGCAGGGACACGGCGGCAATGGTGGCGCCGAGACTGCGCAGACGCTCGGCCGCGGCCGCCCAGGCGGTGCGGATGCGCGGGTCCAACTCTTCAATGTTGTACTCGAGCGGAATGCCAAACGTCATACCGCGGAGGTCGGGTGCGAACGTCTCTCCATTGTAGCCCATCCGCTGCCCTGCAATCCGCAGGCGCGAGGCGAGTGTCAGGGACGTGGGGTCGCGGTCCACGTCAGACTCCCGCCAAAGGCCGGCCGTTTGGTCCTGCTCCTCGCTGCGCTTGCTCGTTGGGTCCTCGCCCACAATCAGCCGCCGAATGGGCGCCACGGTCGGCGCCAGCAGACCCACCGTGTCCAAGCTATTGGCATACGGCACGACGCCAAACCGCGACAGCATGCCGTAGCTCGGCTTGAATCCGACGACGCCGCCGTACGCCGCTGGCAGCCGCACAGAACCGCCCGTGTCGGTGCCCAGGGCCACATCGACGTCGCCGAGACGCACCGCCACGGACGAGCCGCCGGAGCTGCCGCCGACGGACACCGCTGCGCCCGCCGAGCCCGCCGAGCCGCTGGACGGGTCGTGCGGCCGCTCGTACGTCCCCCCAAAGTGCGAAAACAGCGAGTGCGACCCCATGCCAAACTCGTCGAGATTGGTCTTGCCAACGACCCGGGCGCCGCGCCGCCGGAGCTGCGTGACAATGGTGGCCTCAAAGGGCGACTTGTAGTTTTGGAGAATGCGAGAGCCACACGTGGTGGAGGTGCTGTCGTCGGGGCTGCGGGTGGCAATGTTGTCCTTGACGGCGAGTGTAAATGTGAATGGCGGGGAGGAGGCGTCGGCATCGGTGTCGGCGGGTTCTGGAGGGAAGTACATTGTTAGGCACACTGACAGATGCCACTCTGTGAAAACGCGCGACCTACCTCGCGAGATGAACTGGTTCCAGTCATTTGTTCGCTGTCCTGTGGTCGTGGAGGCTTTGTCTCTGCCTGAGGATGTTGTCGAGAGTAACCGACGACAGAGCGAATACCTTCCAATCAACCATATTGGCGTTCGTAATCGGCATGGCGCAAATGTATGTGAGAGGCGCGAGGATGACGATGAGAAGGATAACGAGGAAGACGCCGTCCTTCTCTGGCACAATTGCCGGACTGGCGCCGACATGGTCGGTGGTCAGGCAGATGTAGACGGCCGATGCGCTGAATTGACCTAGGACTGCTCCTGTGGCCTCTGCCTCTTGAATTTTCGTCTTGGTCGAGTGAGTTGCGGTCAAAATCTTGGGAACGGTGTTTGGTTTTCGGTGGGATGACGTTAAATTTCGAAGCTTCCGTTATGCGTCCGCCGCCCAAGAAAATAAAGTGGGTCAACAGCTTCAACCTGTCTCAGCTCAAACGAAGGAGCAAAGAGGCCGGTTTATTGAGAACTCGATCTATATTTCCTTCAAGGACACAATTTTATTGTTATATTATTACGATGTTTATTTTTATTTTTATTTTCATTTTTTTTACCGTATCAATTCTTAAATACATACGTTTTTGCAAACGGGGACGCCAGTTGTGTGAAATAGCATTTCATTCGGTTTCCATCAAATTTCCACATATAGAGCACAAGCTGTCCTTCATATTCGTTAATATTAGAAGCTTGTTGACTAAGTTTAAGATACTGAGAAATAGCAGACAAATAGAGGAGAAACACAGCCGCCACCATTGAACTCATTTGCCATCCTCTTGTCCGGCTTGCACTGCAATTGTAAAAAGAAAGGAACGCCGCGAAATTGTGAACCGGGAAGACGTGACAACGGCGGATCGTGGTCATAAATCATAAATAGGATATCTGATACCAGAGTTTGGAAATTGGATTGGAATTTTTGGATTTGTGTAAAAGTGTGTATGCTTTCCGTTATATTATCCTGTGTTTTCTACATGACGTGGATTCATTCCCAGACCAAATTCACTTTTGGCGGGTATGTTACATTGATCGTTGGTGACGCCGCCTCTATCAAAAAGACTCGAAAAAAAAGGGAATGGTGAAAGGGGCTTGGGGGCGCGGAGGGGCGGTGTAGTGAAGAGGGTGAATAAAGGGGGCTGATACATGGTTACAATGGGATACATGAAGGGGTATGGGTTGCAAATGAGTCGAAAAAATGAGAGAAAAAAGGGGCAAATAGGAAAATACAGGCGGTGTATATGTGACATGAAGTGATGTGAAGGGCTGTGGGAGGGTGAATGTGCAGCATGGCGCGTAATTAGAATGAGGGAAAGAGATAAGGAGGCCAAAATGATAAAAAGGAGGTCAACGGGAAAACAAGGACCGACCAAAATGGGGATAGGAATATTTGAGGGGGGTATAACGGGTGCGCGCCACCGGATATGAGGGAGAGTTCATCACGAACAAACGAAAATGACATTGCCAAGACCGGCCAAGACCCTCCTGTCGCGTGTTACGCCTGGATGACGTTCGTCTGGCCACCAATCTGGCGCTTGACGAGCTCGCGCGCCCACCGGGCGGTATCGACCGTGCGAGAGGAGTACTCCCGGTTGGTGCGCGTTTCCTTGATAATGCGTAGCACCCATTCTTGCCGCAGAGCCTCCGTGAGCTGCCCGTTGGGGAACGCCTCAGCAAGGTCACCGATGACACCCATTGCCGAGCGCATGAGCGACTCGCTGCGGTTGCCGTCGTTGGCGAGGACATTCAGGAGCTGGAAGATGGGCTGGACGTACGGCTGCAGAGCCTCGGCTGGAGGGCTGTTAGCGAACTGCCATTCAATAACGTCAGGGGTGGGGGAGTTGGGGGGGACACACTCTTCTGGCTGGAGGTCATAGCACCAATAATACCGCCCCAGGCGTCCATAATACCCTCGCGCAGCGAGACGATGTAGTCGAACATCTCGTAGCTTCCGTCGTTGCCAGCAGTGACTGTCGCGGCCTGCTGCAGAACCTGGGCAACAACAGACAGGTACGTCTCAAAGTGGCCGCCAATAGCGCCAGCAATATCGCCGAAGCACTGCAGGATAGCAGGCTTGAACTGGTTCGACAGGGTAGTGCTCTGTAAAACATTAGTATTGTGTTAAAAGAAAGAAAAATGACAAAAAGAAAAAAAAAAAGCGAGAGGCGAGAGACGACGTACGCTCAGGTTGGTAAGCAGGTAGTTCATAAAGCTGTCGCACCACGGCTGGCTGCGCAGTCCCATCGAGCGAGTAATGTCGCTCACAAGGCCGATAGCCATCGAACACAAGCTGGGCTCCTCCTGGTTGCCGAGTGCCTTGATCAGGAAGGGCGAAAAGGCGTCCATGTACTTGACAAAGTCCTCCTCGAGGGCGTTGGCCAAGCTGCCGATCGCGGCAAAGACGGCCTCGGGTACCGACGACTTGCCGCCCGAGTTCTGCAGGATCAAGAGCAGCGCAGCCATCATGCGGTCGCCCTGCGGCGCAATCTCCTTGTCGAGACGGTTGACGATGGCCTGCAGGACGGTGCACAGACTGGTCTGCATATCCTCGAGCGTGATCTTGTCCTCGACGCTGACGACCTGGCTTTGGAGCGGGATGGTCTCCTCGAGACGCTTCAGAATGACGTCCGACAGCTGTGCAATGTCCTGCAGGCTGTCCTGGGCGGCATTCGCTACAAAGGTGTTGAGCACCTCATAGGCGGCCGTGCGCACAGCGGGCTCGGCACCGGCCTCGGCGGCCGTGACGGACAGCAGCTGAGTCACGCTCTGGGTGAAATGCTGCGTCAGGGGGTTCTCGGCGGCACCGGCGTCGCCAGCGAAGCGCTCCGCCAGGTTCATCAGTGCCCAGCAGCACGACGCCGCCATCTTCGGGCTGCTCAGCAGACCACGGAACAGGGACTCGATCAGAGGGTTGAGGTGTGTTTTGGGGTCGATGGAGTGGGGGCAGTTCTCGGTGATGCGGCCCAGAGTGAAGGCCGTCGAGTCGCGGACTTGGATGGATGGGTCGTCGATCATGGAGATCAGGATGCCCAGGGCGGACTGGATGATGGGCTCGAGAACCGCGTCGCCGGGGCCTTCCATGATGGCGCCGAACGCCGACACGGCAGCGTCACGCTGGTGCCAGTCGTCGTGCCGCAGGTTGGACTCGACAAACTGGATGACGTGAGGGATGATGGTGGGGCCGACGGCCTGGGCATAGAGGGTCAGGCATTGGTAGGCAGCGCGCGAAATGTTGTACTCGTCGTCGGCAGCATCCTCATCTTGCTTCGTCAGGAGAATGAGCAGGGCGGGCACAACCTCGCTCGTGGCGACGCGGGCGAAGTTGTAAAAGGGGCGGAGCTGGTCCTGGTCCTCGACGGGGCCGACTTGCGCGTTGTCGTCCTCGATGCCAATCTCCTCCTCGCACACGGTGGACCAGAACTCGACGGCCAGCTTGGCGACATCCTCGTCGTCGGACTTCATGCCCATGATGGTCAGGCCGAAGAGAGCCTTCTCCATGTAGTAGCGCATGTTCTCGTAGTAGAGGGCCATGATGCGGTTCAAGCAGCCAAAGGCACCCTGTTGGATCCGGCTGTCGGACGCCTGTGTCGCCTCGCACACGACCTGCATGATGTAGTTGCGCTCACCCTCGTGCTTGAAGTTGTTACCGACAAACTCGAGCGAGTCGCTGAGGGCGGTGATCGCGGCAAAGCGAACATCGTTGTTGGTCTCCTCCTTGCGCGCGCCCTGGACAACGGCAGTCAGGATGGAGTTGGAGAAGCCGACGAGGCTGGCGCGGAGGTCGGCGTCTTGGCTCTCGCAGATGAAGCCGATGGTGGTGAGAGAGGCCTGCTTCTGGTGCGCCTCGCCCTGGCTGACGTTCTGGACGAGCATGGGCATCAGCTCCGGCCACTGCTCGCGGGGCAGCTCGATGGCACCGATGGCGGCCACGACCTGTGCGGCCGCCTGCCCGGCCTGGCTGTTGGTGGAGGAAAGGGTTTGCAGGGTCAGCTGCTTGATATTTGTCTTTGTGTCCTGGTCGGTCTGCTGGAGCCATTTTGCTTGGAGTTCGGCCTGGCGGGTTGGGTCGCGGCCTGTGAAGGCGTTCTTGAGGGCAATACCGGCAGCGGCACGAATGTGTCCTTGGGCGTCTTCCTTGGCGAGCTCCTGGACGAGCGTGGCAAGGTAGAGAGACTAGAGAGAGGGGGCGGGGAGGAAGAAGAGGGCCATGTTAGTATGAGAGGCGAGTCACGCACAGTTGGGTGGGGAGCAACACTACGTACAAAGTTGGTGGCTGCGGCCTGCTCGAGCTGCTGCTCAGCATGTTGACGCAACGCGTTGTCTAGAGATGTCGGTTAGCAAAGGGTGGCCAAACGAATATGAAGTTGGACGGAAAATGCGCGCGGCCATGTTCGGTGAGGAGAAGCATCCGCCACCAAAAAGCAGCCAAGCACTTCTGCCGCCAGACGGCACGGCGAAGCCAGCGGCGCGTTGCGGCGCGTCACAGTGGTGTTGCTACGCGCATGCATCACAACGAACAATGCAGTATGCCCTCTCCTTTCCCTCCGCCTCCTCCGCGTCAAGGCCGTGCCGTCGTGTCATCGTGTGAAGCTCCGCGCAGAAACAAACAGCCGTCGCCAGGAGAGCGGCAAACATACCGGGTGACAACGAATTGGTTAGGATTGTGTTGATGTCCGAGTTTCCGTCCATTGTGTCGATTCAGAAGGGATGTTTCTGTCGTGTGTCGTGATTCGATGTCCGTCCCTACTCGTGTCGTGGGTAGGGGAGGAAAGGAACGGTCGAGAGACGTGAGAAAAAACTAAAGGAAAAATGGTGGGCGTTGGCGTGGCCTCTGTGGGGGGTGCTAAAAGGAAGCAGCAGGCGTCAGACACGGAGACGGGGCGATGGCAGCTGAAGAACACCAATGAGGACAAAAGAAACCGAAATCTGCGTGAAAGAATGAAGCGGCGTGGGTGCTTTGCAAAAAGGAAGGTCGAGATGGGTGCACCCGAGGTGTCTGGAATGTCGGAAAGGGGACGAGGCTAGATGGAAGGAAAAGTGAAGGAGGAAGGAGGAAAGGGAGAGGAGGGAGAGTGGTAAGGAAGAAGACGATGTGGTGGGCAGCAGGTGGAAGGTGCGGCTAGGCCTAGGATGCACTAATTCTTGTCCCCTATATAACGGCGTTCTTTCTGTAATTACGGTTCATAACAGGCCATTGGCCCCCGGACTTGCCTTCTTTGCCAACGCTCGAACGAAGTGGGTAATTTGCAGAAAAAAATAGCAGAGAATAATAACAAAAATAAACAAAAATGGAGGCGAGCTCGAAAAAGGACGAAATGAGGAAAGAGCCGAAGCTAATTGACAATTACAGAATAGGAAAGAGAGAGGAGGCTCTTGCCCTGCGGACTCTTCGCCTTGAAAAATATGCCAGGCAAGGCAGGAACAACGCACACGACATGATCATAGAGATAGCAGGCACGACCGCTTGTTGTAGCAGGCTGCAATGGCATGCCCGCACTTGACGAAGGACAAAGGACAGTGGAGGCTGTTAGCGATTCTTCGCACGGTGCTCTTTATACTGTGCAGAACACCAAGGGAGGCAATGCGCTGAGGGGCAAAAGAGCCTAGCTCCAGCTCGCCCGACAGCGGGCATGGAGACCCATTATGCCCCCCGTAATGTATGGGCTAGTCAGACATACAGCGCCCAAGACAGTGCACAAGTCGCTGCAGAAAGGAGCCCTTGCAGGGGCCGCGCGCCTTCCCTCTTGGCTTCTGCTGGGCAACGGGACTCACCGCATAACGAGACGCGTTTTTTCGTCCCGAAGCGGGGACTGTAAACAATGGGAGGGGTTCTCCAGCTCAATCTGTGAATTGATTTTGAAAGAGGCCTCTGGCAATTTGTGCAGTGAGGGCACGCACCGCTGCCAGGGACACAAAGCGAAAGGATTACAGTGTGCAACACACACTGCTTCGAAACGAGAGCAAATCAGGTGGCCGCTGTCCGCTACCTTGGTTGCTCCTTCCCTGTCGGTTTTGTGGCTCTTTGTTTTGTTTGTTTGTGATGGTGGGGCAGCGCAAAGGGAAGGAAGTCAGGGCGTGAGCCGAGCAAAACGGAGAGGGGTTGTGGGATGACTGGCGGCACTTGGTTAACGGCCCCACACAGTGTTGTAACATATCGCACAGTGAGACCTGCCAGCGAGCTCAGCGAACCAGATTCGTTCCGTCTGTTGCTTCGTTGCGGGAAGCTGGCGCCTTGCCAGGCGTACCGAACGCACCTTCCCGCACAAGGCCTGGCCACACGAGATACGGACGCTGTGCTACCTTGTCTCCTTGTGTTCGGACAGGCCGCTCTTTCACTTCCAGGTTTTCCAGTTCCCAAGTGCAGAACTTCCCGGCACAAAACCTCTCGATGTTTTCGTGATAGCCGAGCTTGATTTTCCTATTGATGTAGATGTGTGCCACTTTGATGATGCCTACGGAGTACGTGTTTTGCAGTTCAGTTGCCGCTGGACCCCTATTTTCTGAAAATGCCCATTCTGTCTCAGCCCCAAACGGTCCCCTTTTTTAAGACATGAACACCAACCCCTGAAACAGACCAGAACAAAAATATAAATATACGTCCCGTGAATGCGATACTACGAAAACACCTCTGGAGGGAAAGAAACCTGGAAAGAACAATGGTGACAATAGTAGAATGGTTGTTTCCCTCTCCTAGAACATGGACTCGGCTTGGGCCTCCAGACTCTGGATAATCTGGGGCTTGTCGGCCGTGGCGGCGGCACCGTTGCCGTTCGCCAGGTCCAGCTCTTTGCTGAGAGTGCGCTGCGGCACGGGGCGGGCCACCTGCGGTGTGCCAGGCTGGCTAGCCATGAACTGGTTTGATTTGTTAACGGTCGGTCCATCAGACGAGACAACGCAAACGACTGGACGCGAGAGAAAAACATACATTTGAAGCGGCGCTCAGGACGGCGTGCAGCGAACTCGTCAGGACATCCTCGTGCAGGCCAACACCCCACACCTTTTGGTTCGTGCCCGTGGTGCACTCGATGTAGGTGGCGGCGCGCACATCGCGGCCGCGGCCGACGGCGTGCTCCTTATAGTCGTGGACCTCCAGGTCGGTGCCGATAATTGGCTTCAGCGCCGCCGCCAGCGACGAGATGGGGCCCGTGCCGCGGCCCGACAGGTGGTGCTCTTCGCCGTTGATCAGCAGGACGCCGTCAAAGACACGCTTCATGTTCTTGGTGTCCTGGGTGCGTCCGGGCGCGGGGGGCGCGGGGCTCGTGGAGCGGTCCGGCAGGATCTTGTAGTCGACGAGGCCGAAGCGGCGGTTCTCCTTGAGGAAGTAGGTCGTCTCAAACAGCTCGGTGATCTCGACGGGCAGCAGCTCGCGGCCGCGGGTCTCGGCCATGCGCTGGACGGTCTGCGAAAAGTCGACCTGCAGGCCGCGCGGCAGGTCGAGGTGCAGGTACTGCTGGATGATCCAGGCGGCGCCGCCTTTGCCGCTCTGCGAGTTGACGCGGATGACGGCCTGGTAGTCGCGGCCAATGTCGTGGGGGTCCAGGGGCAGGTACGGCACCTGCCAGCGGTCGGTGGCGTCCAGGCCGCCCTTCTCGCGCACCTGGAAGCCCTTTTTGATGGCGTCCTGGTGCGAGCCGCTGAAGGCGCAGACGACCAGGGAGCCGCCGTAGGGCGCGCGCGGGTGCACGGGGATCTTGTTGCAGACCTCGACGACGCCAATGACGCGGTTCAGGTCCGAGAAGTCAATGTTGGGCGTGACGCCCTGCGTGTACAGATTCAGAGCCAGGGTCACCAGGTCGACGTTGCCCGTGCGCTCGCCGTTGCCAAACAGACAGCCCTCGACACGGTCGGCGCCGGCCATCTGGGCCAGCTCGGCGGCGGCGACGGCGCAGCCGCGGTCGTTGTGGGGGTGCAGGGAAATGCAAATGGTGTCGCGGTTGGAGATGTGGCGGCTAAAGTACTCGATCTGGTCGGCGTAGACGTTGGGCGTGGCCATCTCGACGGTGGCCGGCAGGTTGAAAATGATGGGCTGCTCGACGGTGGGCTCCCAGGCGGCCTTGACGGCCTCGCAGACCTGCACGGTAAAGTCCAGGCGGGTGTCGGAAAAGGTCTCCGGGCTGAACTCAAAGGCCCACTCGGTGGCGCGCACGGCCGGGTCGGGGCTGTCCTTGGTCAGCGAGCGGACCAGGCGCGCGCAGCGGGTGGCCAGCTCCAGGGTCTCCTCCTCGGTGAAGTTGAAGACGATGCGTCGGAAGCACTCGCTGGTGGCGAGGTAGATGTGGATGATGGCCTTCTTGGCGCCGTGTACCGACTCGATGGTGCGCTTGATCAGGTCTTCGCGGCAGGGCGAGAGGACCTGCAGGTAGACGTCGTCGGGGACGGCGCCGGGGGTCTCGATCAGGCGGCGGGTGAAGTCGAAGTCGGTCTGCGAGGCGGAGGGGAAGGAGACCTCGATCTCCTTGTAGCCCAGGTCGGTCAGCAGCTTAAAGTACTGCCACTTCTCGTCGCCGTTCATGGGGTCGACCAGGCTCTGGTTGCCATCGCGCAGGTCCGTCGACAGCCACCGCGGCGCCTTGGTGATGGTCTTGCTGGGCCATTGGCGGTCCGGCAGGTGTACTGGCGGGAACGGCTTGTATTTTGTGGAGGGATCTTTGAGCCTGCGAAGAAAAGAAAAACGTTTGTCAGTAGGGAATCTCAACGCCGGTGCCGGAGCACCGCAGAGAACCACGAATTGCGAATCGAAATCGAGAATGCGCCGAGGGGTAGAGACAGGGGGTCAGGTCGACACGTACATTGGCATTTTGGCTGAACGTGGGCAATGCCAGTAGAAAGAAAGAGACGGGGGATGGAAGCAAAAAAGAAAGAAAGACAAGATAATGTCAAGAGCCAGACCAGAAAGGGCGGGAAAGGTCGTTGTCGAGCAATTGGGCAGGCAATTGGGCGTGGACGACGGGGGAAACTGGTTGGTGAGGGGCGAGGAATGACACGGGAAAAAGTTTTGACTGGAGGAGGCAAAAATGTACAATGGTGAAGCTGGTGAGCAATGACGAGAATGGACAGCTAACTCTCTTATTTAAAGATGTCCGGAAGTCGGAGAAGACACACGCGTTTTGAATGTGAGAAGGCTGAAGGGTCTCGAATGTCTCGAATTTCCCGGGGCCGAGTCTGAGTCACGATGTTGGGGAAACAGAAAAAAAAAAGAATGGAGCGTGGGAAGCCAAAGCGAGGGTTCGAAAACGAAAAACTCGGGGTAGACTAAGAAAAAGTATGACTATAATATATTAGTGACGTTTTCAACGTCCTTATGTCACCGCGAAGGGTGAAAGGCTGTACGAGCCGAGAATGGCAAAAATGCTACTATAGCTGTTGCTGCTGTGTTGCTCTGTCGCTCTTTCCTTCTTTTGTCTTCTATTTACGTTCTCTATGTGGTCTTCGCAGTGACTCCTTCCTGTGCCTTCCCGTTTCTCGTCTCGTCCTGTTTTGCAGTCGGCTCACACCTGCACCTTCCCGTTTGCTACCGTTGAGCCGACGCAAGGCGGGTAGGAAGAGGTTTGAAAGGACCAGGAAAGAACGACCGACGCCGGTGCCGGTAAAGCATGTTCACTAAACGTGGAAAGGGTGGTGAAGGGGCCTGCTAAGACAAGAAAGACAAAAGGAGGAAAAACGAACAAAAAACAGTGACAAGAAACGAAGCTAAGAATTGCCAATTGTAAACCGGCCGCGTCAAACGCCATTGCCAGTTGGCTGTTCTGGAGTCTGGCAAGCATGCAAATGAGGGGCTGCAAGTCTCAGAAGCATCAGACAAGGTAAAAGGCCAGGCCGACCATCGGGGCCAGGCGAAAACAGAAGAAAGACATAAGCAAGGCACAGAAACAGAAAAGACCACTGAGCGTGCTAGGAGTGGATCTTCCGCTCGGGGTTTTATTGTTGGTAGCGGCTTCGCTGGAGGAACAGGAAAGTCGCAAGCAAAGTGCTTGTCCGGGCGGAGAACTCTACGGCTGCTGGACCCGCCCTGGAGTGTCACGTCGTATGGACAGCGCCGGAGAGTCAAGCCGTCCCCGGACACACAACTGCCCAGCAGGTTTACTACACGAAATATATGACCCGCGATTGACGCAGCGGGTGGGGGTCGCTGCGGCGTGCCTGTGTTCAAAGAGGGTGAAGGCAACGTTCTCCGCGCAACGCCTTGGCTGATGATTAGACAGTGGACGGCCGCCCCATACTCACAATGCAAGGACATCCTCGGATGCTCGTTCGTCCTCTCATAGAACGCTTGTCGTTGCAAGGGCGCAGTAAGCGAGATGCGTATTTTTTTTGGTTCTTTGCTTTGCTTTGACCTGTTTTTTTGCTTCACATGTCACTGCAGAAGAGTGGAGAGAAGCGCAAGCCCAGACAGAACCTGTCAGAAGAAGCCAATGGGGTGTGACTCAGTGCTCAATGGAAGCAGTGACCAGCAGGTCCGTTGTTTGGCAATACACCCACATATTGTCGTAATACTTGATCACCGGGCTGGCTGTCAACAACTCGTGGCCTTTCAATACCAAGCCATCAAAATCAGGTCCCAGTCCAACTGAGGTACAACAGTATACCGGCATGGTGCATGCTCCGTGCCTCGCGAAGCACAAATTCTCTATCGTACAAGAGGAAACATGCCTGTGCCGTACGGCTGGGTGCACGAACTGTGTTGGTCTGCCTGTATGGCCTGACAGGTGGCGTCTCATTGTATACGGAGGACAAGCGCAGGTACAAAAGGAGTTAGTACGATGTACACAAATGAAATCAAAAGTGTCAAGACAGGTCAAACCAACGGCCAGGACACGACGTCCTGTCAAAATACGGAGTTTCTTCTTGACTTGGTTGAGGACATAACAAGGCTGTACAACCAAAACGAGTGAATTTTTTTTTTCTTCTTTCAAGAAATATGTATTAAAAGGAAAGTGGACATGGGTTTGAAAAATAAATAAAAGTGAAATGTATGATTGTTGGTATCTCTCGTAACGTAATAAAACGTCTCAAATAAAAAACAGAACATGTAAGGAGTGAAAGCGAGAAGAACTTCTTCCACGCCAGTGCATACGGAACCCAAAAATTGCACTCCAAAGACACCATACAAGCAAGTAAATGAAGGTGACCTCTCTCGCCATAAAAAGACGGTCAGATCGTACATTACATCCCCTCCGTCTCTTTTTTGTAGACGTTTTCTCATTCTCTGATTTTCATCCTATGGGTCATTGTCGAGAGGTAGGAACGGCACGTCGGGAGGGACATGCGTCAATTCCCCCCTCCATTACAGAGAATAGTTCTCCGTGTGCAGGAAGATCTCCTCGAGCATGTCGTCGCCCCAAATCTCCGCCTGCAGACGAGCCACCGTATTGGCCACGCCCACACGCATGCTCGCCGGGCCGCACACAAAGACGGCCGTGCGGCGGCCGAGCACGCCGCGTCCGTCGCTGCCGCCCGTGGCCCACTCGCGCAGCATGTACCCCAGATCCGGGCGGCCGTACTCGACGCTCCAGCCGCCGTCGATCTGGTGCGGTACGGGGAAGGCAAAGCGCATGAGCGACTTTTGGAACTCGGTGGGCGTTTCGGCGAAGCCAAAGTCGAAGCCAGAGGGCGGGCCGAATGTGGAGGTAGGACGTGCGCCGGCGGCCGCATCTGGTCGCCGCTGGATGCCACCAACATCCGTCCGCAGGTGGGCCAGCTCAGGCGGGCGCATACCGGTGTGGTCGCCGTTCGGACCGGGCTCTGGCAGGCCGTCACCACCATTCTGTTCACCGTCGTGCAACTGGACCTCGCCCGCCTCGGCAGCTTTCCGCATGGCAGACGGCGGCACCAGGTTAAAGTGCGGCGCGTCGGCGCGCGGGTGCGGCGTGAAGTGAAAGTTGCTCTCCTCCTCCTCAGCAGTGTAGGCCGCTGTTGACGACACGAGCGTGCTCAGGCCGCTGATGCTCATGCGGTTCTTTTGTTTTTGTTTTGTGTCCTTCTGATCTCTCTGAGGGACAGATAAGGTGTCTGCTGCCAACGACTTGCTGTCCTTGTAGTCCTTGACGTCGGTGCTGCCACGGCCCTCGAGCTGCCGCAGCGACTCGTCGGGCGTCATGGACATGTGTTTTGCTGGTGGCGGGTTCGGCGGCGGCGGCGGCACCTGGTAAGGCTGAAGGTACTTTTGCTGCGGCAGTGCCGTGATGCGGTCCTCGTCCTCGGCGCGCAGCTCGCGCTCGCGTTCTGGGTCGCCCTGCGCCTCAGCCGCGATGAGAGCCGAGTTGCGCTTGGAGGCGATGCCGGCGACAAAGCCGTCGAGACGGTCATGGAACAGATTGCTGAGCGGACGTGGTGCGCGCGTGTTGTGATGCGCGCCCATGCCGTTGCCGTTGCCGTCCTCACCAGGGTTGCCGAACAGGTGGCCCAGAGCTTGGTTGCGGTGTTCGGCGCGGGTGGCTGAGGTGACAAAGAATTTGCACGTCACAGACTCGGGCGGCGCGGCCTCACGGCAAATGCGCAGCTCTTCGCGGAACCAGTCCATGGCCTCGAGGCGCTTGAGCGCCCAGACGACGACAATCTTCTTGGTGATGGCCTTGCCATCGCGCATGCGCTTGATGAGGTTGAGCAGCTGGGACATGAGCGACGTGATACCCGAGCCGCCGGCGATGAGAATGCACGTGTCAAAGGCCGCCAACTCGCGGCGCATGCCGCCGTAGGGCCCGTCGAGGAAGGCACGGTAGGTGTGGAAGGGCCCCTTATCCAGGGCTGTCTCGAGCACGCGCCGCGTGAAGCCGCCATACGGCCGGAAGACGAGGACACAATCCCGGTACGCGTCGCCGTAGGCGGAGGGGAAATCTTCGCTGCAAAGTGACGATACGGTGAAGGGGTGGTTGTCGAACAGCGAGATGCCGGGCATGCGCAGGTACACGTACTGGCCGGGCCGCCAGCGCATCTGGGTCGGGATGGTGATCTTGATGGCGTTTTCGGTCATGAGCGTGATTGCGGCCTCGTCGCCGACAAAAAAGGAGATGCGCCAGGGGCGCGACCAGTTGAGGTTGCGCAGGCGGACGACCTGGCAGACGACAAATATGCCCAGCGTGGTGTACAGGTATGCCCACGAGCCCAAGTAGTTCTTGGTGTGCCAGAACAGCAGGCCGACGTACAGCAAGCCCACGGGGATGTGCAGCATGACAAACGCCTCGTAGGCGACGCGGCGGATGATGGGCAGCGACGCGACACAGAGCCAGATGAGCGGTACAAGGCACGCGATGCCGGTGCCGTAGACAATGACAGAGCTGTTGGCGGGGAAGAGGGACTGGAAAATGGCCATGCCGCCGCCGTCCCAGACGGGCTGAATGTAAAAGGGGATGGCGTGCACGAGCGACAAGAACAGGCAAAGGTAGCCGGCCCAGCGGTGCAGCACGTTGAGGCGCTCTGGGCCGATGCCGGTAATGAGCGTGAGAATGTTTGCCTTGGTGCTGGTGGCGATGATCCAGGGGGTCATGGCGACGGCGATCATGCCCGAGCGAATGGCCAGCGGCGGCGAGCCGTACTGGATGCTGTCCCAGTAGAGGGGTTGTGGCAGGAAGCAGTAGAGGGTGGTGAAGGCGAGCGCAATGAAGCCGCAGGTCAGGACGGCAAGCGAGGAAAAGGTGAAGCGGTGCTTGAAGATGACGAGGTCGGGGATGGGTCGGTAGAAGATCCAGCGGAAGAGGGCCAGGGCATCGTTGACCACGGTGATGGAGGACATGTGCGCTTTTGGGCGGAAAGCGGTTTCGGCCTTGACCTCGTCGGGGAAGAAATGGCGACTCGAGTTATGGCCGATCGTGTAGGCCGTCGGCGGTGTCGCATTGCCGTGACCGGCGTTGGCGTTGGCATTGGCAGCGGCAGCAGCAGCAGCTATCGATGCGGCTGTACCGGGTGGCTGGTCCCATTCAGGGTCGGCCAAGTACAGGTGATTGTAGTGCTCCTCAACTTCCTGTTTGTAGATGGCCTGGCGAATCTTGTCCTGCCAGTAGTGCCAGAGCCGGACGACGAGGACGCTCGCGGTCAGGGCCGCGGCGAAGTAGGTAAAGGCCAAGCCATACTTGCCCGACTTGATCCACGGATCGACGGTATCGGCCTCGACAAGGCCTGGCGGGCTCGTCGGCGTCAGCGGGATGTATATTCGTCGTGCCAGAGACGGCGGATCTGGAGTCAGGTGTGCCGCCATCGTGTATGTGTGTGTGTGTATATGTTTGGGGGGAGGTGTACGAGACGTGAAAGTTGGAGAGGTGGGTTTGGCACGTCAATGCGGTGTTCTGTCGCCGTGCTTGTTGTTGCACAAGAAGTGCAGAACCTGCGCAGTCAATGGTCGAGGGATACCAGATCTCTCGGTGTGCGGCCGTCCTCAACTGTAATTAGTATATGCGACAAGAGGCAGCGGCGGTGACAATGGCGACGGCCATTGATTTGGCATCAACTGGAAGGACGTGATGGTGGAACACGAGCGACGATGACAAGAAAAGGGAAATCAAAAGGAGTAAAATAAAGGAAAGATCGACAAAATGAAGGACGACGACGGCGTGAGAAAGAGAGAGGGGGGCAGGAAAAGATAAAAGACGAGCCACGACAAATGGACAACCAGGAGAGACGAAAGCCGACGAGTCGAGACGGAAAGGTGGAGTGGGTCGGAGGTATTGTGCAGTCGTCCCGGGCGGGTAGATATATTGCAGACTGGGGGCCCTCGAGGTCGAAGATGTTGCAGAACGCAAGCACGACGTACTTTCAGGAACACACGGAGATGCAGTACAGATGCATACGCGGGAGATATGCGGGATCAGGGACCAGTCTCAGTCTCAGACTTAATCCCAGTCTCGGAGTGCCGTGTTCAGCGATGGTGTGCTTCAAAAGCTCCTTGATAATGATCAAGATGCTGAAAGAGGGCTCTGGTTGGTTCAGAGCCTGCGCGATGGTAGCGCTTGGGATGAAGGAGAAGGGGACCAGAAAAGTCACGGTGACGACTGGATGCGATAGACAAGTGCCGAGACAAAGAATCGGTGCCTCTGAGAAGGAGAGTCTGCAGCCGCCGAATGATTAGAAGCACGAGAGAAAGAGGAAAAGCGTCTGTCCAAGAGAATGGGAGGAGAGAGGGAAGAGGTAAACGGCGGTAGGGGAGATTGAGAATCTGAATGTATGCAGAATGCATGCAAGGTTCGTGGTGAATGTTGTACAGAAGCAGGTTGATGGTGACGAGAAAACACGTTGTTGACAGCGGCTGCGTGTTGTCGCGGACAGGGGCGTTCAAGAGGAGGTCGACAAAAATGCGGCCATATTAGATGAAAGGAAGAAGGAGAAGTGAGGATGATGGGTAACAGCTCCACGGAGAGTGAAAGGCGTCAGAGGTGCGACAGCAAATGTGAATGCACGAAAGCACGAAAGCACGAAAGCACGAAAGCACACTGCAGATGAAAACCCAATGTCTGGCTAAGCGGGCTCAGATGCAGAAGCTCAGCGCCAGACGCAGCATTGATATTGGCTGGAAGGGCTGGCAAAATGACTGGGATGGTACGGTGGTGAGAGTGGAAGTGCGGGTGGAGGAGGTGATGGATGGGGACAATGGTGATGGGTGATGGTTGCTGGGGACAAGGATGCGAACTGCGGGTGATGAAGCCGGAGGTGAAGAGGGCGGGGCGACAAAAGTGACGAACAAAAAAGGGAAAGAGGTGGTCGGTGCTTCTTTCTGCATGTCACACGGGTGGGAAGAGGGAAGGAGCGTGAGGTACGTGGCGGAAGGTGCTGTGGGTGCTGTGACGAGATGCAGGTTCTCTAATTCTACAAGCATCTGACAGATGTGCATTCCGCAGATGTTGCAGCAATTCATGGAACAATGCCGAGTTCACAGTGTTACAAGACGATGAGTGCGAATTCCCGGTTTCTTCGGCTTCGGATGCTCGCCGACCTGCGATCCATTTAGAAAGCTGAATGGCACAGCCCGTCTCTTCATGTAGCAATCTATTTCAGTCGCGACAAGCCAGCACCGCGAGTGAGGCAGAGCAGCCGTGCAGGACGGAACGAGAGACAAATTTAGAGACAGATTTAGAGACGCACAGAGGGCGCACAGAGGGCGCACAGAGGGCGCACAGAGACGCAAAGGCATGCAATACGGGAGGAAAGCGGACGATCAGAGGCCAGAGCACACTTTGATGGGACATGGACGGTTGAGTGAGACTGGAGTCTTCGAGGAAGGTGCCGTCAACGTCCAGCTTTCTGCGTCGGCCATTGGCGGGAGGGGAGTGGGGGGGAAGAAACGGGCACTAATGCTGTCAAGCGCCGCCCCCAATGTGACTGGGCCTCCCATCACGGCCCGCTGATTTGCTGGCGACGCTGGAAAAGGGACCACAGAGGGTTGAAATTGTGTGCTGTCCAGTGGTCCGTGGATGATGGACAACAGGGATGGAGGAGACCGCTGGGCGAGGTGGTCGGCAGGGGTTGAGACGGCGGGCGGCAAACGGAGCAATGTGATTGGCTGGGTGAGCAACAAAACAAATAGGGACAGTCACGTGAAATTATGCTCTTTGATTGACTTGGGCGAGAGCTGCAATAATTGGCCAATCAGAGTCTCATGTCTCTCCATCACCAACAGACGAAGAACCACATCAACCAAACCGGTGCGGCCACAGTATTATCGATGGGTTTGTTGGCCTCGACCGGCCTGGACCTCGACCTTGGCCCGACCTTGGTCCCGACCGTGTTTGCCGTCATACGATGTACCTTCACCTTGCATACTTTCTCGGTGTCGAGGCCGTAAAGCCCACGGCGCTGCAGCTCCGGCACTGATCGGTCGACTTCGTCAATCCAGTTGCCTTCAGTCATGATATGCCAGCGTTTTTGGCATACGCCATGGCATGCCCATGGCGGTAGAATATGATCCTGCCGCAGTCCAGTGGGTGCAGCACTGGTGTGACTTTGCACATGCATGTCAGGAACGAACGCTTTATTGGCGTGCTTGTGAGTCTCCCATTACTCCAGATCATGGCCAGCTGCCTTTGTATTCCCTTTGTACGCGTCCCGCCCTCCGGAACTGCGTCAGCCTGCCTTGCCGGGATTGCCTCGAGGCCGTGGAAGTGCTTGGGTCCCGAGTGGAGGCGCCGCGGGACTGCTAGTAGAGCTCTCATCGACGACGGATCATTGCAAATCCTGGTGAAGAAGTATGTTTCTCTTGGCGCATTGCCCAGTCCAGCGAGCGAGTGGTTAAGGGTTCTTAATACTTGACTGGTATACCTGTCAAAGGAATCGTGTCGCCGCACAAGAACAAGACTAACCTCATTCCATTTCAACTCCCACCGTTGGAGTATATTCTCGATCCATTTCCATTGCATCGTCTTGCCGCGCCGTATCGCCGTCCCTAGTACCCATGCAGCGCATCGAACCCGGCGGCCACGAGACTCTCGTCCGTTTCGACAGCATCGCCGGCGCCCGTCCAGTAAAACAGCCCACCCAGGCCGGCCCGCCGCACAAACTCGGCCTTGGCGCGCACTGTGGCCGGCACGTCCATGCTCACAAAGGCAGAGCCACTTACCTTGTCCCGGCGACGCGGCACGACGGCCCATGCTGCTGCTCGCGAAGGATCGACGTGGAGCACGCCCTGCTGTTTCCATTCGGTAGGGACGTCGCGGTAGTCCATCTCAGTCTCTTCTTTTTCGTCGTCATCGTCATCGTCAGTGGCACCCTTTTGAAACGAATCGCCCTCGTAGCGTGCGTCCCAAAAGACGCGCGCGTACGCAGGGATGCCCAGGAGGATGCGCTGTGGCGGCACGCCGCGGTCCAGCAGGTATTGCACGCCCGATTGTGCTGATGGCAGATGCGGCGGCGCCAACAGCTGTGCGTGATGGCCGGCCGACGTGCTCCAGGGCCCCGCAAAGTCGTAGCACATCAAGTTGATGTGGTCGACGAGGGCCGCCACGCCGCGCACGTCGAGCCGGCCCAGCACGGACGGATCGACAGGCAGCGCCGTGGCCAGCAGGTACTGCGGCGAAGGAAGCACGGCGCGACAGGCCTGCAGGAGAAGCACATAGTCCCGGCCCTCCGCGGGAGACGCCGGGTGCTCCCAGTCGATGTCGATGCCGTCAAATGAGTAGCGATGCACCCACGCCCGCGCGGCCTGCGCAAAGGCCGTGCGCCCTGTCGCGGTCGATGCGATCTGGGCAAACGCGCCACTGCCTGCGCCGCCGCCAATCGACAAAACCGTGCGCACGTGCGGGTTGTCGCGCTTCACGCCGGCGAGTGCGTCGAGGCAGCCGTGCTCGGCATCGACGTCAATCTGCGCATCGGCGTACTCGTCGAGGAACCCGAGAGAACCATCCGGCTGAGGGCTGCAGGCAGTTAACAAGGATTTCGTCTGGAAACCCCCCCTGTTCCTCAACGTACATTGCAAATGCATAAAAAATGGTCGAGATTTTGTCGAGCCGCAGACTGGACGGCGGAATGTCCTTGTACACGCGCCACGACGGGTAGTAGACAGCGTTCACGAGAGGAGGCGGTCGATCCATGGTGGTGCGTAGTAAAGAGACAGTCGTGGGGACAGATGGAAAGGATGAGAGAAGAACAGATTGTGAAACGGTATGCCGTGCCGTGTAAGGTGGAAGGTGGTGCTTCTGGAGGCCTGCCACACGTGACTGCTGACTTGCACGGAAGTTGCCGATTTCATGGCGACGACATCAATCGTTGTCAAGTAGGAGGAATGTGAGGAACGAATGGCTGGAAGCAAAGGTGTTGGATAGTTCTGCCATAGCCACGATGCTGTGCTTTGCAGTTGGTTTAGACTATATTTGTCTCAGCCACAACATAGAGTAGGGTAAGGCGACCCTGCATCCCACGACACAATTTGGAGAGCGGGAAAATCAAATCTTTTGTAAACGAACTAGGAAACACTAAGGGAAGATATAAAAAGAATATAAAACCGACCTGTTAGATATCGCTGTGGCAAGATCTGAATTCGAATGGATCTGGGAAGTATAGATCCCCTGAGCGGCCCGTCGGCTCATGTGCGTGCAAGCGGTCAGGTGCTGTCATCGGGATGGGGTAAACACCACGTGGGATAGTCCTCTTCTTTGAAGGACATGGGAGCGAGCGACGTCTTGAATGAAGATCGGTGTGTGTCAAAGTCGCCACAGGCAAGACACGAGACGATCCAGGGCAACTTTTACTATGGAGCACACCAGACACCTCACATCCGATCCAATGACGCCTTGCCTCAACCGTCTTGGGCTCTGCATCTTTGGTACCACGCAGCCGTTTGGCACGCGGGTTCCACTGCCGCCCCAAGCCATGCCCTCCTCATCAGCCCTATACTCTGCCATATCATGCTATGCTATGCTGTATAGGTTATGGGGCGTGGGATGTCCGCCACTCACGAGCAGCCACGTTGGTTGTCGCCCTAGTACATACTCCGTACCTACCGCACTCGGTGGTGGTTGCCTCAAGCAGCCAAGAGGCCAAGCCTGGGAGGGGATCTGTCGGGGGGTGGCAGAAGGTAGTGGAGGGTCGCAGCGTCTATCAGATCGGGGCGATGCGTCTGGGGCAAAACGTGCGGTCCCCATGGCAGAGCCGGCTACGGGTGTTAATCGGGTTGTGTAGGTGGTGTGTATGTGGACAGTCGAGTAGTGAGTTGTGCATGCCTAAGGGAAGTACATCCGAGTACATCAGGCGACTTCTGATGCTTTGCGTGTGGTCGAGTCCGAGGCAATATATAGGTGTGGGAGACGCCGGGAAGGATCACAACAGTCACAAACCATGTTTGGCAGCCATCTGGAATGCCGGTAGACGACCGCATACGCAAAAGGCAAGGTGTGGAAGGCTGTACGAATCAAGATAGGTTTCCGTATACAACCGATGTCATTGTCTAAGAGGGCCTCGGGGACAACGAGGGTGACACTATCACCTATTACTTTAGACGTAACATCTGCACTGACGATCTTTGAGACACAACTAAGAGGCTATCGTGGGATATGTCCATGGCGTTATGCAAGTATTGAATGGCATATCGAAGATGACTACATCAGTATGTGTTGATACGTGTAGGGAAGAATGGTAAATATGAGTGAGAGGGACGTTTAACGATACGGCCAAGATGCACATCTAAGCACACCGAGGAGCGAGGTGCAGATATCTACGGTAACGCCAATATAAAACCTGAACGAGCTCGGGTAGGCACATATTTTACCGCTTGACACAACTCCCGGCATTCTAAGATGACAGTTTATGACGACGTTGAGAGACGCCTCAATAGGTACCTTTCCTCGTTGGGAAGACACATACCCACCACCTGTCCCGGTATGAGCCGTCCATATGTCTGTCCCCGGAGCAGACGGGCGAACCATGGTATGGAGATTTTTGTCTTTTGACATTTTGTCTTTTGTCTTCTGGCCAGGTGACAGATGACAAATTACAGGTCGACGCCCCGGAAGTTTTCGTAGTGATAAAGGCGAGGAAGGTATAGAAGCAATGGAAGGAAAGAACGGGAACGAACCAAACAAGTCACTGTATTCGGAAGGTCCCACTATAAACGTGCTGTAACGGCAAAAGGCGAGAGGCGAAACATGGCGAACCAAGACGAATGTGGTAGTTCTTGGTCGCGCCTCGGGTCTCTGCCAAATACGCTGGAAAATGCAGGCGGCGGAGATTGAAGGCTTTGGGGCAGCTATCGCCGAAAATCCCGGGCGGAGGCGAGATTGTGACGGGCTCACGCCGCCAACGCCTAATTGCCCAATTGCCAAATTGCCCCAATGCCAACACGTTGTCACAAATAAAGAGGATGCTCAAAACATGGCCAAAATTACAGCTTTCTACAAAATGAAACGGTCAAGCAAAAGTCGAGTGCAAAGTCGCGAGACGTAATGACCAGCACGCCCCTTCAGTGTAACGTTGTTGAGCTTAGTTTGGCTTACACTTTAGCCAGTTCCACTTGCAGAGTGCCGACCGTCGGCGGCTGTTGGTGCAGGATGGGCGATCGTTTTACGTCGTAGATTTTGTCTTTTGACGTCTGCGACCATCACGTTGTCCTTGTGGGCAGTACGGAGTGCGCTTGACGATGCTTGGCCAGGCCTTCTATTCGTGTGGATGTCCGGTTTGGTTTATGTAGGGGTACTGTAGGCGGATGTGTTTGCTTGATCCTTGTTTTTGTGATTTTTTGATGTATTTTCCAAAAAACGATTCATTTGTTTTGCTCTCTACTTGGCGTCGTATTTTGTTGATCTTGGCAAAAGCTTTTTGCAAGCCTGGCAGGGTCCGGTGCCGAAATTTAGGAGGATATAAGAGTAGCTCGTCCCCGCTCCGGTTTTCTGCCGTTTCTGAAAAGTTGATGATCAATCAAGAATTCGACGGAGAGATTGGAAATAAGACGGGATGACACTAGCACTGTGACACAAGGGTGCAAGGATTCAAGGATGTGAAAATATAGGCAAGTCGTCATGTCTATGTAAGTAAGACGGTCTTAGCCAGAAAAAAAAAAGAACGTCCTCCGTCGGAGTAGTCAGAAAATTAGAAAGTCAGAAGCAGCGGACCTAATTGTAAAAGGACCAACGACAAATAGTCATGCTTGCTCATCACAACGTCGCTTCTGTAGTCCTGCCGTATGACTCTTACAGTCGTCGCGTCTCCTCTTTTCTCAACGGGACCGCAATACAAAAGAAATGTTACTTTGTCTTGGCATGTTGTGTCATCGATGGCATCGCCACATGGTCTATCGTCGACGCACATGCCCTCCTATCCCGGCCTTCTTTCTTCCGCTAGCCGCAGCCGATTCCGGCGGATGTACAGGCCGGCGTGGACTCGATGAGGAGAAGAGGGGACAGGCTCGGCAGGGGTGCCTTTAAGAAAATTCGTCTCGTCCCGATTTGTCGTCTTGTCGGCTTGTCGTCAGGGTCCTGTGGTCGTTTGGTCCCACCGTGGCCGGGAGTTGCTACCCAGACTATTCACCAGGACGACCAGGGTCGTCACAGTCGTAGCCCGGAAGCAGGACAAGGAAAGAGGGGCCCGATGCTCCGCTGGTCAGACGAAGCTCCCAGGCTCCCAAGACCGCGCTGTATGTTGTGTGCCAAATCCGAGAGAGAATGACAACTACCAACAAATAACAATGATCTACAACCACAGAGGAAACCAATGCAACAAGCGGCACCAACACGAACAAAACGAAAATGCAACGGCGTGAAAAGCCAGGCAATGGTGGCCGGTAAGCTCGTCAGACCGTAAGCCCGTGTAAGTCGTATGGGCGGTCCCATGTGGTCGAGGTGTTGGCGCAAGGAAGCGGAGACCGGCACACACATGGGAGAAAATCAGACGATTTGACGCTACAAGCACACACCTCCATGTCCAGACTGGGCTGAAGGCTGCTTTAATTTTATTCGGTGGGTATCCGGCGCGGCCTTGCGTGGGTCGACGACACGAACTACAAAACGAAAAAGGCGAGTTGCTCGAAAAACTGGACTTGAGCGACGGTGCAAACGGACGAATACGGGAGGATGGGGGATGCTGGTGGACAAGGTGGACATAAACAAAGAGGGGACGAAAACCGACAAGAAAAAATGGCACATGCAGCTTCCCATTTCCTGCACTCACCGCTCCCTTCTCGTTACCGGATACTCTGTTTCCTAGATGTGCATGTCAAGTTTTGTGATTTTGCAGCAATACAGTCCCGTCGGATGCAGACTCCCATGTTGCTTTATTCCTCGTTGTGGATGGCCGGCTGGATGATCTTCGGACTGACTGCAGGGCGATGCGTCTGTCACTTGCAGGTTTTGCGACATTTGTCCGTAAATACGGGCTCTCTGGTATCCCGCAGACGATCTTATGTATCTTACGGAGTACTAAACGTCTCCAGGCCTTTGAGCATCATGTGTCTGTCACGTCAATCTTACTCGTTCCTCGAGAGTCTCCATTTGCCGTCGGTGTTCCCTCCTTTGTTATTTCGGATGACGTCATTTCACGTATGGAAGGGTTAGTAAATACTTATTTTTCTCCGTCGATACGGGCAGTGAAGAAAAAAACACGCCGTAAATTCACTCTTTAGTCAAAAAGTCACAAAGCAACGTAGGGACATGTAAAATGCATGATTCTAAGAACATGCAAAGGAAGTGCACAGAAAGTGTAATGAAAGTGCAGTGTGGCATTCTTTTCGAGAGCGCGCTAGTGGAGCACAATTAGCTTCCCGCCTCCACCACACCCGGAAGCGTCGGACAAGGAGCGATCAAGCGACCAGGCGATCCAGCGCCGGCGGCAGGCGGTAGGTGGTAGACGACAAAACAAATGGCTGGAGCGATGGAGGGACCGACCAGGCGAGTGAATATACGGTTAAATAATATGGGCCAGACGGAGACAAAATTTCCTTTCTTGTGTTCATCTTACTTCGTATATACGATACCTTTGCACGTCGCTTTGCGCTCAGAGAAAGTTGACATAATACTCTGTAGAACCTGGGCTTGTCAGGTCCATCGGCCAAGTGGGCAGAACACGCAATAAGACAAAACGCCAACACAAGAGAGGGGAAACTGCATGTCGTACACTGGGTGAGATTGACGGAGCGGAGTATTGGACGGACAGCTGACGGAATGCCATCCCGATGATAGCCACTGGATGCAAAGGCGCAACTACATCTGGGTACATGTGTCTGTGCAAAAGGTACATACTCCTCGAGCGGCACCCTGGCACCATGGGACTGTCTTCATCGAACGAGCGGACGAACATTCCTGTCCGCAGTTCTTCCGACGTGCTTTCGTACTTTGGGCAATTCATACAGCTACCCCAAAACCAGAAAAAAAAAAAGAAAACTTTATTTTCCCATGCATGGCAAGTCCCCACTCCGCCCATCCATCATGTCGAGCCTTTCCTACGAATGTACTATCGTCTCAGATCTTGGTGGCACCCTAGGGGGTGGCGGCAACGGCACTGAATGAACCCTGCTAGCCTTCTGCCATCCAATTCACGGTTCTTTGACGCCCTCCCCGGCCGTGCCTCCCGCGTGTCTTTCATTAACGTCGTGGTTTGTAATTCGATCGCCCGTCTGGCTCCTGTCCGCCATGGCTCTCGCGCAGTCGCGCTCTCGGCTCGCAGGCTTTGCCTTGCCTCTCTCCGTTTCTCGTCCTTCATGTCCATCCGATGCACATGGCCCCGTCCACTCTTCCGCATGACTGATGCATACGTTTGCGATATGTCAGCAGACGTCGATATGTCAGAAGAGAACGGTTACCTTTACGGCCCCTCCTTACGCTTCTTACGCTTGCTCGTGCTCGTTTTGTGTCTCATTTCTCTCGTCATTTTACATCCTTGGTCCATTTTTATATGATGGTAACTACATTATTTTATTTATTATTTATTTTTACGTCAGTGAACTCCGATATGGTCGGCCTTGTGTTGGAAAGTACTTTGCCATGCCATGGAGCTCTATGGATAGCCGCTGCTGTCGACAGTTGGGATTTCTTCACAATCCATATTCGTCATGCCTTTCTCGTCTACGGCTGTTACTGAAATTCCGCTCTTCGGTACGTTTCCACGAGCGTTGACAGTCGCCAGCGTCCAAAGGCCCTAGAACGTTCCCCTGTTCCCTTGACTCTCGGGCTTAAACGGCCTAAACGGGCCTAAACAGGCCTAAAAGAGTAGGATCCACTTTTGACTAACACGGATTTTGGGGGCACTCGGGGGCGTGCGCACGTTCGCAGCCCTGCCGCCGTTCTTGGGCCCGTCCGATTTCGTTGTTTGACTGTTGTATTTGGTAACCCGCAGTCTCGCGTTGATCATTGCGCGCTTTCTCTACGTTGTATTGCCGTACCATTTTCTGTGCACCTGGTAGCTTTTCTTTTCGGGGTTTTTTATTGCATGTGGCTTGTCCTCCTTCCCTCTTAGGCTCATAGTTTCCCCTCCCGGAAAGTAGCCAAGGCAGGGGACAGTCGAGGCACGAGGAAGGCGGTATGAGGTCAGGAGAAGAAGCTCCTTCCGTGTTTTCCTTTAAATGGCCGCCGACCTCTGCTCCTTCTGTTTTTGTTCAAACCCGGCCTCTTTCTTCACTTCCTCCGTCTCAAGAAGCAAGCTTTCTTTGTTACAAGAGCATCCCATCAAACATAGCTGTAAACTTGAAGAGACCACACTACATATCGCAGCACACTACAGCGTCACCTCAGCACCACCACCAGCACATACACACGAGGCAAGCAATAATGAGTGCCGCCGTCATCTCTCAGGCCCCAGGCGCCGCGCCCCCGCGAGCCGAGGGCCTTGTCGCCAACGATCGCTCAAGTACGTCAAGTGCCCAGAGCACAGAGACGCTCTACGATGCCGCCGAGGCCAAGCACCTCGAGCCCGCCGCGCACAAGCTCCGCAAGCAGTTCTTCCACCTGCATCATCACCATACCCCCAGTAGTGGCAGCAAAGAGAGCATTGTCGTTGAGGAGCGATCTGCCTCCACCAAGCGGTCCACCACCTTCATCCGCTCCTTCAAGTACCTCAACAACCTGACGCCCAAGCAGGTCGACGACTTTATGGCTTCGTACGTCATTTACAACCTCGACTGGGAGGACGAGCCGGCCATGGTGGCGGCGCTCGGCCCGGACTACAAGCAAAAGGTCGGCGACTCGCTGCGGGCCTACTACGGCGTGATGAACCACCTCTGCGCGCTGGGGTCCGTCGAAAAGATGTACATCCCGCCGCTGATGGACAGGCACGTGTCGGTGCTCGACAACCAGCTGCTGTACGAGGAGTCGATTGCGCGCGACCTGGGCCTCAAGCCGGGCGACCGCGTGCTCGACATTGGCTGCGGCCGCGGCCGCGTCGCCGCGCACATGGCCAAGTACTCGGGCGCGCACATCACGGGCCTCAACATTGACCCGAACCAGCTGGCCCAGGCGCGGGCGTTCAATGCCGAGCAGGGGCTGAGCAACACCTTTGTGGAGCGCGACCAGAACGACCTGCCGCTGCCCTTTGCGGACGCGTCCTTTGACGCCTTCTACCAGATCCAGGCCTTCAGCCTGTGCAAGGACCTGCCGGCCATGTTCCGTGAAATCTACCGCGTGCTCAAGCCCGGTGCGCGCTTCTCCATGCTCGACTGGGTCAGCCTGCCGGCCTACGACCCGGCCAACGAGCAGCATGCCGAGCTCATGCGCCGTGTCAAGCCGCTGATTGGTGCTGTCGGCACGCCCACGCCGGCCGGTCTCGAGCAGGCCTTGGCCGACGCCGGGTTCACGGTGACGCGGTCGGACAATGCGAGCGTCGGCGGTCTGCAGGCGCCATTGATCGACAAGGTCGACGTGTACTTCCGCGCCGTGCGGCAGATGATTCTGGGCCTCGTGCGCGTGCACGTGCTGCCCAAGCACTTCAAGACGCTCATCAACCGGCTGTGCCTCGACGGCCAGGCGTTTGTCAAGATGGACGAGATGCGCCTCATCTCGACGAGTTATCGCATCATTGCGCAGAAGCCGCTGGACACGCCGTCGGAGGCATAGATCCATGCGTCTCTACGGGTTGATTGTAGGAACGGCGTTCTGGTGTGTTTTTTTCTTTTTATGATTTCGGCGGCTGTTTCTCTTCATTCACATCTCTCGGCATCATCGCATTTGCCTCTGATTTCTGTCCTTCCTTTTGCTTCTGATCGACATTCTCTTCTTGCACTCATTACTCTTTATTTGCCATTGAACTTGCGCGATAGACTTTAGAAAGATATCCACGGCGTCTGGGAGCTTTGGACTATTCCTTATCTTAATTCACAGGGCGGTTTGCCTACAATAAAAAATATGAATGCAAAACATAGTATCGTGGCTATGGTTGCAATGCGAATCATTAAAGTGACATCACAGCGACAGCCCCAGGCCTTGGGGTCGCCCCTCGGGCTAACATCCCCCGCCCGACCACGGGCTTCGCAATGTTTTCCCGCCTCCCGGACATGCATTAATCATCAAGCTGAGCGTGCCTTCCAGACGCACCTGCCACAGGCGCTATTTGCCAACAGCACCTGCCCTGGAGCGCTTTCGACAAACCGTTACGACAACACTAGCGGTACTAGTTACGAGTGGCAGTCGCGACTGGCACCTCTTCAACGCCACACGCATTTGTGGCACAACGCACATGCCATTTTGCATCTTACCAACCCTCATCTTCCAAGTCCATCCAACATGCTTCAGTCGCGACCAACGTACAGAGGACAACCCACAATTCAACCCGTTCCATTCATGCCGCTCGGCGTTACCTTGTAAGACACCGGTCGGCAGATAGGGTTGCATGCTCGAGGCAAAGGACGGAGAGACCACAGACAAATGGAGCAGTTCGGCCCCTCCTCCTTCGTGACTTGCTTGACTTTCTTCAACGTGACGTATCAACTCGACGAAACACGACGACAGGAACGGCGACAACGACAGAGACAGTGCACGTGATACTGTCCACTGACAAGTCCATTGAGACAGCTGCCACCAGGACGACCATACGCGGGGACGGCACATCGCTTACATCGTCGTCGTCAACATCATCGTATTCCCAAGCATGGGTCGTGCGCCGACCAGTGGCAACTGCCACACGTGCCGCAAGCGGCGTGTCAAGTGCGACCAAGCACGGCCGGCATGTGAGCGCTGTGTCCGCGGTGGCTTCGTATGCCAAGGCTACGAGACGGTGCTGCGGATACAGAATCACGCGGTTGTGGCCGGTGTGGCGCCCGGGTCGGTGCGGCTGGCCAAGGTGCAGGACATGACGTCGTTTCCCCGGAAGGAAAAGGAGGTGGCGGCCCCACCGACGCCCCGGAGGGCAAGCAAACGAGCTGCCGCCACGCCGGCCCAGCCGACGACCGCCGCCAAACAGACACCGTCGCCATCACCGCCGTCGATGCCCCAGGAACTCAGCCTCGTCGGTTTCGTCGACGACATGGCCTTTTCCTACTTCTTCCAGGCCTACGGCTGGATCAACATGCACAGCATTCTGCTCCAAGACAGCGCCATGCGCGGCCACCTGCTGGCGTCGGACAGCACCGTCCACAGTCGAGATGCTTCGTCATCCTCGTCCTCATCGTCATTCTCAACCCCACCCTCTTCCTCGCTCTCTTCTGCGCACGTGGCCGGTGACATGGCCCAAGACAGCCTGCGCGCCCTCTGCTACGGCCTGCTCGGCCGCGACAAGCACGTCCCCGCCCTGCAAGACGCCGCCCGCCGCGCCTATGGCAAAGCCATTGCCGACCTGCGTGCCGCCATCGCCACACCCACCACCGAAACCGCCGACCTCGCCTTGCTCGTCAAGCCCATTGCGCTGCTCGGCGCCTACTCTGTCGCCATCGAGCGCGACCGCCGCTTCACGCACCATGCCGGCCTCGCCCGCATTCTCGAGATCTGCGGCCCGGCGGCCTTCCAGTCGCCCACGCTGCTGCCCGTGTTTGAGTCGGCACGCATGACGCTGGTGGCGGATGCCGTCGTGCGTCGGCAAGAGTCGACCTTTTTAGACAGCGTCGAGTGGAAGACGGTGCCGTGGGCACGCAACCCGGCCGCCAAGTCGCCCACCAACCGGCTGCTGGACGTCTTGTCGGCCGTCCCCGCGCTCATCCACGGCGCCTGGGCCGTTTTCAACGACCGTGTTGCCTGGCTGGCGGCGGGGGGCCCCAACGAGCTGCCGCGGATCGAGAGCCCGGACGCCGTGCCGTCGTTGCTGGCACGCGTGCGCCAACTACGAAGCAAGGCCGCCGCCTGGCATCGGTGGTGGACCGAAGACGCCTCTCCCACAGAATGCCTGGCCCGCCGTCGTGTTTTGACCTGGGCCTACGCCCACACCGGCGACGACTCCTACCGCCCGGGCATCATGGGCGTCCAGGGCCCGGACCATTTCGAGACATCTCTCTACAGTGTTCTCCAGGCATGGCACGACGACACCGCCTTCTCCACCGTCTCGCTTCGCGATCTGGAGGACGATCCCCGTCTTCCCACGCACATGCAGGACGCCGCCCTCTACACCACGGCCCTCGTCTGGGCCGACCGGCTCGACCGCTACCTGGGCCACGCCGCCCGCTCGCCCACCTGCACCGACTTTTTCAGCAAACCCTTCCGCTCACCCTGCCCCTGCCGCAGCACCATGACACCCACCGTGTGCCAGACCGTCCCGCCGCGCATCGACACGGCCCGCGCCAGCCAGGCCGTCGCCTGGAACGCGGCCACCTGTACCATGGCCGGCGGTCCTGTACGGTGCGTCAATGCCGTTCGGCCGGAGATGGAGTGGCCGGCGACGGCCTCGCCAACGGCCTCGCCGTTGCGGTCAGGGCCGGGGCCGTCAGAGTCGCACGCCACGTTCGACCCTATTACAACCGTCGACCCGGCCGA